TTACAGCTGAACCTAATGATAATAATACATGTTCTGAGCGGCATTTTTTTTAAATGTATTTAAAAAGGTCACGGATGCGGCAATATTTGTTATATTTTAATGGTCTATCGATATGAATGATATTAGCAAGTGCACGTTAGTGATGAAGAATGAATGCCGCTTAAACCAGTGCTAGGACACACAAATTTTGAGGAGTATGTTTAGAAAATTAAAAGATTCTTCCAGTGTTTAGATAATTAGCATGCATTTTCTTTTCTGCTGTTTACGTTATTTTAAAAACTTTTAATGAATTTAATAAAAACAAATAATAATATAGTATCAATCATCACATTAGGAAACCAGAAATAGCACTTTGTCATCATCACGTTTAAAATTATTTTTAGATTTAGATTGCAAATCTCCATCTACTCATTATTTAAGGTGAATACGTGGGAAGAGTGATTGCTAGTTAGAAGGTTTCACGAAAGCAAGACATTAACATTTGTTTTATATAGAAATTGATTTCTCGGTGTCTATTTATGAAACAAGACATGATTAATGTACTGTAAGGATGTCAATTTGATCAGCGTCATTTTGTAACGAGACAAGATATATTATCCGGTTTGTCTGATGCATGGTCTAGGAAACAAAACCGTTGTATAATTAAGATTTAGAAGTAAGACAGTTTGGTTCTTTTGTTTCGTAAGCTTTACCTTGTTCGGTTAAATTAAATAATGAAAATGCATATATATCTTTATGTATTTTCGTCATATTTACTCAGAACAGATATTTTGACGTATAGATCGTTGTTAAAAATTATTTTATTATTTCAGCAAACAAAGAAATAAATCGATTGGTTGATGACCAGTTTTTCTGCATGTGTCGATCATCATTTTTTGCATGTGTTGATAGCAAGCTAAGGTGAATTCACAATCTGATAAAGGAAACTTCGCTACCACGTGTACAAAGAATAACCTGTATTGCTTGACTTTTTTGCGACTTTTTTGTTTGATGTTTTTTTATTTGTCCCCTTCCATGATGCTTTGTTTGTGTCCTGTGCCATACTGGGACCTTTCCGGAAATCCTGTGTCACTAGGCATTGTGGCGGTTGACATTTTGGAGATAATTATATCTTTTTATCAAATAAGAAACAATGAACTTAACTTACAATGGAAACATTAATAAAAATTTATAAACATCGTTGTTAGGAAATGATTATGTGTCATGTCAGGAAAGTAGCATTTCAATTTTGTTTTGGTCGTGTGAATCCAACGAGTAAAATGAACATAAAAATACATTTCTGGAGGAATTATTGTAGACAGACGCGCAGGCTGGTCTGGATCCATGCTGGTCGCAAACCCATTATGTTGTTTTTGTCGTGACGCGGCTCATTTTTGTTATGTTGTTAACTGTGAGAGCAATGATTGTATGGTGGTTTGGTGCACCTTCATGCCTAAAAGTTGTTTTGCTACTGAATGTTTCCAAACGATACCCTACGTGTTCCTTATGTATATCTTGTTTTAAAGTAAATTGCTTCATGCGGTCACGTCTTTAATTGTGTTGCGTGTGTGTCGCATTATATGTGTTGACGAATAATATACATATTTCCGCCTCATATTTATTATATCCATTTGCCATTCCCTTTACCCTCCCACTTTTCCTTCATTCCTACCTTTTCATTTAGACCCTACCTTTTTCCTATGATACTAATCAGTCTTGAATAACATCGCTTGTGTTTTGGTGATCTGGGCGCTTTGTCTGTGTGAAAGGTCTGGGTTTTTTTTTTGGGGGGGGGGGGGGGGGATTCGCTCCGTTAATGTGGTTCTCCCTATTTTGTAACGAAAGCATATTGATTTGTACATTGTTAAAAATAGCCCTCTAATTATCAGTAGGCGCATCTAACAGGGATGACTATATTTTAAATTTGCCGAAGAAAAATATTCTGAATAAATTGTTATGGACGAATACATATTTTTAAAATCATTTGTGCTGTTTCAATGAATATGAATTTCTGTAAATTAAACAAGACACTGACCAAAGCAGTTATGAAATATGTGATCTTTATGATAATTATCATGTTTATATTGATCCCTTTGATCATTTTCCCTAATTATATTCTTATGATCCTTCCTACTTTACTATGTTTCGTGTCATCTTTTTTGTATTCAAAGATGACATACGAAGGATGTTCGAAATTATTGCTTATTTCTATCTGGAGACTTTAAATTTCAAGTTAGCTTAAAATTGTTCATCGCATGCCCTCGAAGTACTCCCCGTGGCTAGAAATGTAAAGTTTCAGCCGATGTGTCCACTTCTTGAAGGCGTCACGGTACGCTGATTTGGGCGCAGTAATAAGGCACTGATGAATGGCAGATCCAAGTGCCTGTCGAGACTTGTATTTTCGCCCAGCAAGGAAGGATTTCATTTTCGGAAACAAAAAAGAATCACATGAGGCAAGGTCTGGAGAATACTGGGGTGAATTACTTTTTCTTTTTTCAAAAACGCCGAACATATTACGGAGGTATGAGCGGGGGTATTGTCATGTAGAAGACGGATATGCTTATAACCAGTGACAGAGAGTCGTTTCTTATAATACTTTTTCAGTTTCTTAAGTACTGCGTCTTTGTAGTACTTCCCAGTGATACTTTTGCCCTTTTTCACCGGCACTTTTATTGCGACTCCTTCACCAGAGAAGAAAATTGCATGCAAAACCTTCTTTGCACTCAAAGACCGTTTGGCAATTATTGGGCGTTTGTTGCGTTTAGTGGCCCAGATTTTGTTGCTAACTTTTCTGACTGGCTTAGATAATAGTACCAAGTTTCATCACCCGTGACGAAATTGGCAAACTTATTTTTGTCATATTTTGGAAACATTTGGAGCAGCTTTTTGGCCACCTTAACCCATTGCCTCTTTTGCTCATCGGTCAACAGATGTGGCACCCATCTAGCAGAAATCTTTCTGACTTCAAATGCTTCTTCAAAATAAAGTGAACCGTTGATATTGATATGCATACCTTTCGTGCAATATCACGAACTGTAAATCTGGCATCTTCTTCAATGATATCCTTTATTTTGGAAACGATTTCGTTACGAGATGCAGATTTTGACCTACCTGATTTTGGTGCATTATTGATGCACTCTACACCAGACTCAAATTTCTTTTTCCATCGCCTGACTGTGTCATAAGACACACAAGAAGGCCCATAAGCAGTAGAGAGTTCAGTCATCAACTGCTTCAAAGAGCAACCGAGTTTTGAGCGAGCTTTGATGTAAGCCCGTATTTCATCTTTTTTGTCGACACTTCTACCAGCCATTTTTACTACTGTGGTCAATGACTGCGTGTAATTAAATGGCAAATTGTATGTCTTACACTTAGTCTAACATTTACATAACATTGTGTAGGTATTGAATTACCCTATACAGGTATGTATTGGTATTTTTATCGTGTCCCACGTGGATCACGAGATACAGGACAATAAGCAATTCTTTTCGAACAGCCCTCGTAGAACTATCTTTTTTGTCAGTAGAAACAAAACCTAGTCAAGCGTTTGGTGTTTGTTAAGACATTTTTCGGAATTTTTATCCAAATATGTGCATGCACGTGTAATGCCGTAAAATAATGAATTTCAGTAATCAATTAACCAAATGTTCGAGTTTCTGTGTGGAATAGTTATTACAACATGCCAAAAAGATCATATATTAAAATAACGTCACTATGGTTTTCTTTTTATTTCAATAAATATTCTGCTATGGTACACATTCGCATACAATAATTATCAAATAATAGACTTTCTCCTTGTAATAAATACAAACAAAATGCCAATTTCTATTCATAAAACATGTGTATAAAACATTGAATACTTGATATATATATATTTATATTTTGGCAATAAATTGATTTCGGTACAAAATACATGAAGATGGTACTTCAACTTTGAAAGCTACATATCAATATGACTTAAATGATTTTGAAAAATACTCGTATATATTTGAACACCCGTAATCCGTTGGAATTGAAAGTTATTGGCAATCATTCTAATACCAGGCCAGCCAGTGTATCAGTGCGGTATAACTTGGCATTATACCGTTGGTAGTTCAAGTTTAATATTTTTGGAATATATTGAAATCCCTCCAGTTTTAAATGGACTATTCTAAATTACGTAAAAGCAAGGCAAATCCATTTAACAAATTATGCAGATTAAGGGATTGGATATGTCAAGAGATAATACATATACGTAAAGGCAATACTAATGGCAAGATATGTTGTTTTAGAACACATGCAATTAATATATATTATAGTCTGATTTTATTGACCTGTCAATTATGCATACATTATAGAACTCATTTAAATATTCGATCCCACTTCGGTTTGGTCCGTGTAGTTTACGAGAATTAATGTGGAGTATATAAGTCATGGAGCCAGCTTAATGTGAAGGTTTTCGTTAATTCACAATAGTACAGTCGGTTAAGAGAATGCCTGATAATTTAGATGTCTGTGGTTCGATCCTTGCTGTTGCCATTGTTTTAGTACTCTTTCTTTATTTTTGCCGTATATTTTAATGGAACAGTTTGTAGTGTGCTTTACAGCATTGAAAAGACATTTATTGATTTAAATCCGTTTTAATTTTAAACATGAATTCTTAAAACATGTTATTTAAAAAGAATATAGATATAACAAAATTAAGTAAACATAATAAAACAAAACGAACAACATAAAATAATCATATATAGCTCCAATATTGTTGAAAGTATAAATAAGAAAATAAAAACATAGACCTACGCGGTCTCGAACTTAAAACACGTGTGGCACTTAGAGTATAAACTCGTGCTTTACCCTATTGCGCTATAACGCTGAGTACACTTTGTTGAGAGATACAAATTAAATTAAATTCCATCGTACAGCGAACATCTCACGGAACTTACCGAAAATCTACCGAAGATTAATATACTGTGTGCACCGACCGTGTAATCAGTATGTAATTGACAGGTTAATAAAACCAAACAATATATACAACAAATCAAGTTCTTAGAACTTGTAATATGGACGGATAAAGTTTGTTTCAGAGGCGTTTCAGTAATCACATTCAGCTTTGTCAGCGGCACTTCCATGAACATCATTATACGAACATTGTCAATTGACCAGTGCAAAAGTCATTACAAAATATTAACACGTTCTTCTTGTCAACATTTCATCAATGTACAGTTACCAGATATATATCTGGTATTTGTGTTAACGTTATTTCTCATTTTGGAATACACGCATTATGCCTGTAGTCGTAAATCAGAAACGCACTTGCATGGCGTTTCTGCCAAATTCGCCGGTATCAATAATACTGCAAAGGTCAAGTATGTGTCTTATCACTTATGATTCCCTCATCATGTCACATTACTATTCATTGTTTTAAACAATGTTTGTATTTTATAGTACACAATATAATTTAATTATCTAATGACATGACAAGACTTAATCTAAATAGCACTTTACATTATCACACTTAGTATCATCAATCTAATGTTTTGGCTTTTTCCTCGACGACTGATATTTAAGCTTTTAAAAAGCTAGCACCTATCTACAGTTAACAATCGTTTGTAAAAATCATGTTTCCGGTCGAGGATTGCTGTGCTCGTTTTCACAGTTTTGTAAAATACTAAAAATCTGCATTTGACGACCTTCAGATATCAAACTTCCGACGTTTCCCCTTTGATCATATAGTGTGTCTGATTCTGTTTCCCCATTTTCTAACTTTGAAAGAGAACAATTATTATTTAAACTTTCACTAATACAAATTTCATCGAATATTTGATCTCCATTTTCTGTTTTTCCAATGCTTATTTCGGGATCAAACTCCGACGTTGCATACATGACGTCATTGTCGTTTTCGTCTGCGTCATTCTAAAAGAGAAGCAAATAAAAAGGTAAAGCTGAACTAAAAGTGTGCATAGAATTAAAGTACAATATTCGTGCAATAAAGCTCTAATTGGCTAAATAACAATTTCTATCTATAATCTTTATATTTCAATGAGAAAAAAAAACAACAACAAAAAAACTTTAATTTAAAAAAAAAAAGTATGAAGAAAAGTTAACAAAATTCAATATTTTTAATATGAAGAAGTAATATATTTAGACATTCGCATTTTAGAACAAAGTAAGTTAACAGTTATTATGAAAAATATGATATTAAGAGTAACAAATAACGTAATTTCAATTGTAAGTCGCGTGCGTCGTAATTTTTTGTTTGCATGTATCCGAAATATTTTTTACAATTTGTTCTAGCGGAAGTTATAGCATGTTTAATTACTATTTCATTGTTAGGGGAAGCTAAAAAATAAAATACTAAGAACTTAAAAGAAACAAAGAATAAAAACATAAAAAGAACAAAATTGTTGAAACAAAATGAAGAAATGAAAGAAAAGAACTGTCATGTTTCGTATTTAACTTAATAAATCGTTTGTTCGTTGCAATTTGTTTTTTGTTGCATTTTCGTCGATACGACTTCGAAATGTCGAAATTTCAGCATTTTTATCATTAACAGAATGTTTAGCTCTATATGAAACAGACTGTTCAGTTACCTTTGAAAACGAACAAATGCATTTTTCTATAAAAACCTACATAATATGCATTGTCTTGTCTGAACCGTAGACAAAATGCGCCTATGTCCGTAAAAATGTTCAATTGTTCAGATTATGGCTTATGGAGTTAAGGATAATTGGAATTAAAAAACTATCACACACATAAGTCGTTGATATTTTATTAACATTTATTTTACATTTCTAGAAATAGTTTTAAAACTTAAAAATTTACCTAAAAACGAAATATATTTACTACATGAAGATTAAACATTTTAAATCTAATGGTTTTATTGTGTATAATTGTTTATAATTGAAAAGAGAACTTCTGTTGTTGAACTTTGTAGGATAAATGGAACGATAAATGGACCACATTAATTACTATGTGAAAATTGGCAGTGTGTATATATATATGGGAACAAATGTGTTTCAAAAACAATCTATGTATGAATGACTCTGCCTCAAGTGATATAGATAAAATTGTATAAAAATGAGGGACAAGGTGTGGCAACTGACCGCTGAGTTATTGTTTTATCATTTCTAGAAATTTAATAACAATATGAGATCCTGTTTATAATTCTGTATCTGCGTTATCTCTCTCGTTATCATCCCATTTTTCAGTTAACGGACGTGTTACAACTACAATATCTTTCTGTCCAACTACCTTCACATGAAACATTCCTTCTCTTCTTTTACAAAGCTCTTCTTTGGCAACCTTTGCCATACGACAGCTCAGCAGCGTTGATAAAAGGCAGACGAGAATTTCACTTCCGGCAACAGCAAGAGCTATAATGATAAGGGTGTCTTTATTTTGTTTTTGGAAGGTATGCCCATCTGTAGTATGGTTAACGAGACCAAGGCGGAGTAACTGTATGCTGACAACGGAAACGACCATTGATACAACAGAGAACGCTGTGAAGCACATTATCTGAAATAAACAAAATTTTATTCAGCTTGTCTTCTAGTTTTATTATCAATTAATTAATTATTTAATTAATTAATCAATTAATTAATTAATTAATTTATTTATTTATTTGTTTATTTATTTATTTATTTATTTATTTATTTATTTACTTATTTATTTATTGACAACAAATTGCGTAGAAGTGGATACTGAACTTCTGTTAACAATCTGGATTGCTATGAATCAATTCTTTATATAGTAAACAACTGTACATCTCACGTCTAATGACAATGGCACGATATTTTATCAATAACTGTATATGATGAAGGACGTTTTGTCAATAGAATAGATAAAATATTTCAGATTGCATAATGTTTACATGCTTTACGGTGTTGCCATAGCAAGTTACATTGAACATGCTTTATTCGATAATGTAACGATGGCTTTCAAGTGATATTAATTAACATCCAGACGATCGTGATTTGATCCTGATGAAATGATGCTCTCTTAAGCTAAAAGGGCAATTAAATGTTATATGAGCCGCGTTATGACAAAACAACATAGTGCGTTTGCGACCAGCATGGATCCAGACCAGCCTGCGCATCCACGCAGTCTGATCAGGATTCATGCTGTTCGCTATCAGTTTCTCTACTTGTAATAGGGTTGGTAAGCGAACAGCATGGATCCTGATCAGACTGCGCGGATGCGCAGGCTGGTCTGGATCCATGCTGGTCGCAAACACACTATGTTGGTTTTGTCGTGACGCGGCTCATATGTTTCTTTTTTAAATGACCGTAAAGATTAAAGTCGGTTTTACAAGTAATAATGGTAAATCTTAATTTACTTAAAATAGTAACTGCAAAATTATTCAGCATTGACTAAACTAAATAAATTTAGCTTTCTATGGTCTGATTAGACCACAACATTTAATAGTTAAGATTGAAAATAAATGAACTTTGGCATTAACGAATCTGATGTAATGATGTAAGAATTCTTGATCAGATCTTTATTCTTTTGTGCAAAAGGGCAATTTTCTCTCCCACAACTTTAATTTGATACAATATTTATCTCAAAACATTTATTTACTTTAATAAATATCTTCTATTTCAAATGCCGATGATATTACTGTACAAAAATAGTGCTAGAAAACCACGCGTCAAATTTTAATAAAAATAGTTTTTATATTGCAATCAGTTTTAGTGTCTAGTAATTTCAAGAAAATGTTGTCTTTTTCCATATAAGGTTAAACGTTAACAGGTGATGTGACGTGGTTATGGTGTCATAGTGTCATAAATGGGTTAAATTTCATTATTAGAAATCTCCCACAATCCTTCGTTTGACACTTTAAATGTGATGTAGATAAAGGCATGAATTGTTACGGCGTTGCCTAGAAACACCAACGTGTCAATTATCCAGAAAAAATATATTGATACAACCTATTGATAATTGTCTAAGAAACTGTGTGTTGTTGATTTTTCATAAAAGAAACGTTGAATCTTGAAAGCTCGATCTAAATGTCTTGAGATATTCTTTGCTAATTTTATATCATCGCTGTTTATTATTTCGTCCGACGTACATCCATTACTGTATCTTTAAATAAAATGACATAAAATGGGCAATTACTATGTTTACTTGATATATACAATGTATTTCTCTAATTAGTTTGTTTGCAAGGAATCGATAAAACCAATATAAATCCTGACCGGATTACACAGAGAAGTCCATTAATTTGTAAATAGTATCTCTATTGATTGATCGCCTTGAAAATTAGAATTTCCTTAAGCTTCTTTACACTAGTTTTAAGTAAAACCTATTTCGATATTTGCCAAAGTAAGTTAATATTACCTTTCTCATTAGTTGATAATACTGGTTCGTGAAATATGTATACAGTGCAAGCTTTAATGAGCATTTCCGAACTATCCGCAAAAGTATGTGTTTTGTTAATGATTAAGTGACAACTATTGATGTTTTCGTATATTCTCAGTTTTATGTTTTGCTATCATCAGATAAGGTAAACACTACCGTAATATGACCTTCTGTAAACATATTTGTACTTTAGTCTCTATAATCGCAATGAAATGTTAGTATGAACTCATTACGTTAATTACACTAATGTTGTATATGCATAAATGTTATGGAAATGTTACATCTATGATCTAGGAAAAGATCGTTTAAATAGAGTATTTGTTTCTCGAGATAAGTTTAAATGGATAGTCATATCAATATAGTCATTAAAATTTGTAAAGATGTTTTTAGCTTGACAATGAGTATTCAAAATCAGGTAGTTTTGCGCTATTCATAATTAGAATAGAAATTGTAATGGCAAAGACATAGCTAACAGGACTTTGTTTTATGTACGTTATGTTCCAAGAATTAGAAGATCATCTTTATAACAGATTGTTAGGTTATCTTGTGTGTTTCTAAAATTACAGTAAAGCATTTTAAAAGAATATCGTTATCGTCTTCAAATGTATCACGTGTTTGTAGATCTACTTTTACATACTATCTCTTATTTAAAAATATCGGAGTTCATGTTTAGAAGATATTGTTATGTTGTTTTTGTTGTTGTTTTTTTTTTGTGTTGATTTTTGTCATTTTTCTTGAACTAACACGGAATGACATTGGAGTTCATATAATTCATTCCAATGTGTTGAATATGTTTCAAAGGCTTGCACTTGTTCACAGTGATTCTCATTGTAAATATAAACGTCTGAAACTTGAAAAACTGACATTAACCAGACGTGTTTATATAACATTGTTAATCGCTATTAATTTCACAATGTGTATATAATATGTATCGCCCTTTTCCCAATTGTCTGTATGATTAAAATGAACATGTTATCTGTTTATGGAAAACAAAATGTCATGTTTTCCAAGGTGTTGTTATCAATAAATATACTCACCACATACGACGTTTTACGTCTGGCACAGAATATTCCAAGTATACCAGTTATTATAAACTGAAAAGAAAAGAAAACAGGTTTTTTTTTCAAAATATAATTCTGTGCGTATACCTTCCTATAAGAACGGTATGGAGAAAGAAAAAGAAACGCAAATGCAAGGCTTAAATCTAAGATATTTGATATGATAAGGTTGATCTTTTAAGTTTGCAGATACACTAGCACATATCTATATAAAGGTTTTAATGAAATTATGTATTTTGTTGTTGTTGTTGTTGTTGGGTTTTACTTTGCACCAACACAGTATTAGTCATATGGCGTTTTTCCAGATTTCCTTACCGAAGGAAGAAGACCTCAGGCGCCCCTTTGTGCACTACGTGTTATTTCAGGCACAAACATTATGCAGTATTTAGAATTAAAATTGTCAAATGCATTTTTCAATCAAGAATGAACATATTTAACTACGATTTTTTAGATTAAAAATTAAAAACGTACAAAACTTCCACTCCAGATAGGTGATACACTATGAGCTAGCCATACTTCTGCCTTTATGCTTGATATAATGCCGACTATAACACTTATTACCCCAAGAACGCCGTGGAAACCGGATATGACGCACACCGAAGTAACAACTACGTGTAACATTGTCACAAGCAGCGTTTATCTTCAGTACATTTTCTGTAGGAATAAACAAATCTTTGTCTCCTGCAATGACACGAAATTGTTTCCATTAACTTTAAATATTGTTTATTAAACTAAATACATTTCTCAAATTGTGCAAATAAAAATATGTTATTCCGACTTTATACATCCACTTAAAGCTGTGCTTATGACGTCATTCCTTGCATGTCTTTGGAGAATTTAGCTTAGAAATAAATGTTGAAATTACAAAAGTAATGTCCTTTTGTAATAATAAAGCACTATACAGCTGTAATTACTGAGATACGTAATGATTCTTCATTACAGTAAAAGGAATTTTATAGATATTGCAAAACGTTTTAACACGTGGATAGTATTATGATTATAGTCGGGCAGGTTAGCCATTAATTGTTAATGGTGAAACTATTGTTTAGATTAAAACGAAAAAGTAATTTCCTATTTTTTTCTTCATTTTTTTTTATTTGAACGACTCTAAAAAGTACAGAAAGGCATTGACTACTATAACAGTTGAAATAATGAAAACGTATCCTTTTAAGTATTTAAAATGGACGTGTCCATTTTTCAATTTTGATATAGTCATTCATCACTTTAGAGAAATTTTAAAAATGTGTACAGGCTGTATAGCAAACAGTTTAGACCTATGATCAGACGGCACGGAAGTGTCAGCTGATCTTGGAATGCACTGATCGCATGGGTATATTTATTATCCGACATCAGGTGAATGGGTTAGCAAGATATTACGCGATAGTTATATAATAGTTATATCAATATATATGGATATTTATTAGCCAATGTACATGAAACGACAACAGGAATATTAGCACTTTGATAAATAAATTAAAAAATAGTAATATAATTCCTTTAGAGATATATATTTGTTACGGTCTTTAGGAAACGAAGTTCAAAATTTGAGATAAGTAAATTGGGTGAATATCTCATGATTCTTTTACATACAATGAAATATCAAACCAAAATCTAGTCTTTGTAAAAGAACGTGTTTTCTTTGTTTGTTGTTAGTTTGTTTTCTTTTTCAGTTGCAATATCAAGAAGAAGCGTTTCTTCTATATAATCTTTGCCAAAAATACAGCAAGTAGTTAAGCAGGTAAAAAGTAAAACATCAACTGATATGACCACATTTATCTATTCAGACATTTGACATTGTCAGTATATGACGATTTTTACAACAGATTGTTAACAATATTAATATACATGTATATATAACATAAAATAAATTCATTCAGCATAAAACTCTTATACAAAGTTTATGGCTAATTAACATATATAAATATATAATCATTTTCGAAATTGTTAATATTGAATATAAATATTAGTTGTTGTTTCACTGTCATTAACTTGTACAGCAGTCTATGTTTAAATAACGGCCGAACTTTCCTTTTTATATCATAAGAGTTGTTATTATAAGTTAAGACTATGATTTGTAGATTAGGAAAGCAAACTTAATGCAAGTGCTGAAACATTTCTTTATAACATTATTTTCAGTTACATTTTATGTTATACAATACAGTACAATACAATACAATACAATACAATACACTTTATTTTTCAATAGTCACATATTACATAATACGCATAATGCCATTTTACACGTATCAGGCAATAACATGTGAACGAAAAGAAGCATATAATATTTAGTATGGGTAATAAAGTGATCATAAATAATCTAATTAGTTATGTTTTGGATTTGAGTGTTTTTGTATCCGAAGTGGTACAAAAACATGATTTGTATTCTAAATAAGCTAACAACAAGAAATTGGTTGATAAGACAAACGTTAAATGAGAGAGTTATAAATCAATTTTTTATCTTTTATACTCTACAAACATAAAAAATGCCAGAATAAAGTTATTTTTTATTCCGCTTAATACAATAACATAATTGTATTAACACCTTTAACACTCTATTTGATACAACACCTTTTTGCTATTCTTTTTCCATGAAACGTTACCTAACAGAACCATTCTAATATATACAAACAACAGCTGTTCTGTCCTTATCCATTCCTTTCTATTTAACACTAATGCATTGTATTGTATTCTGTTCTACTTGGTCATGCTCTTTTCTATTTAATTCAATTCTGTTCTGTAAACAGTTAAGTCAATACAATTCACATACATCAAGTAAACGCACAAAGAAGAAATAAAATAAATAATAATTAAAGTATACATGCATTCTTATTTCTGAATTATTGTAAAATAAATTACCCTACCTCTTTCAGCAATAATACTCCGACTGCATGCAACGTTCTTGATTCGATACAGAATTATTATAAAAGTCCTCTAAGACACGATAAAACGTTATTGGATTGTCTTGTAGCGTTCCAAGCTTTAAATACTGAGATACATTTTGTCGATATTTGCTTCTGCGCTGCGTGGAATAATCAATAATGTCCATAGACGCTGGCGTTGGCAGCAACAAGATTTTCTCATAATTCTTTGCCGTCGTTGTAAAATTGCAAATGAGATACTGTAGAAGTGTGTTTACTGATTAAGAATTCGATGTCACATGTCAAAGATTAGGAGATATTTATCATACCATTAGTGTATATTGATTTATCGATGAATATTGATTAAGTTTACATATAATGCAATTCAAACATTCCAATTTATTTACTTTAATGTAAGTCTCGATCAGTCAACAATACATGACCATATTTTGTTAATATCCTTTTTTGTTTAGCAATAACAGTTTGGGCTCAGTTGTATATTAAACATCAAACTAATATCAACCCATTCGTGCGGAATTGTTTCTTAATACCTTATACGCCAATAATATTACATCAATTTTATAAGATGATGTAAAGTGAATGGATTAAAACAAACTGCTGTTAAACTTGCTTTAATTAATATAATTATTTCCATATGGAACCACTTCTAATCTATAAGACTTTGAAATATTTTAGACATGTATCATAATTGATAAAAGCAATGTGATCAAGAAAAGTTGTGAAACATAATTAATATTATGTCACTAATAAAAATTAGAAATTAAATGGAAAAATTAATACCCGGAAGAAAAAAAGTAAACTAATAAAAGGAACGTTAAGGAATGCATTAAGGTTATTGGCAAACACGGGTCAGTAACATCAACAAATATATTATTTTACCAACGAATTGAATATTGGTTTTCAAGCAGACGACGTTTCGATCGATGCGACAATGTTTTAATTAGGGCATCGTTGCCAAACTTCAATGGATAGAGTATCGATTTCGTGTTAAGATATACAAATAGATGTCAAAATACAGGCACTGGCAAAGACAACAATTAATAAATGACCTTATATTTTGTTGGAAAGTATGTTTTATCAATCTACGGTTGGTTTTATCAATACCGGTTAGAAGCAACATGATAAAATAATAACATTGACTGTATAACTTAAATAATGGGACAATATATGTCATAAGGCGACTTTCTTGCTTTACTGGTAAAGTGATCCTCCGTACAAAAGGGAATCCAATTTCATTTTCTTGTGTGTATTTCTGTTTAAGTCCGCTGGTGGAATACTAACAATAAATTGGTCCATTAGTGAAGTACAAAGTATGTAAGTTTACAATGTTTAAGTTAAACTTCAAAAAGTCGTAATTCCGTATATGAAAAGTGCTATCATTATAACCCGTCCTTACGTAAGTCATATAACATTTTCAAGTCCCGTAAAGAACGAGAACGATTTTCAGGGTGTCAGTTTCAATGTTTTTTTCTCCGTATTTTCAAATTATAAATCATTGATATATATTGTTAAAAATAAAATCGAACGATCAAAATGTACGAGTATGTGTAGCACGATGTTGAAAAAAATACTAGTAATTCAATTTAAACATTTCAATGATGTTCTCCCACTAACGTATACTTGAGAATATCTAAAACTGGCTGTAAGGAAAAGCCTGCTTCCTGATGACTAAAGAGTAGAATAACTGCTGAATTTAATATAACATGCCCCTTTCCATTAATTTTGTATTTGTCGTGTAACAGTAAATATGAAAGAGACAGCGGATTACCACGTTAACAATGTGCAGCTTACATACTTGACATATATAGCACATTTTCATAAAAGACAATAATGTTCTAAAACAAATCTGTAAGCATAACTGCTTCATTTAAGCTTGGATAAAAGTCGAAAAAGAGAAAGGACATGAGTTAATTTCATACGTTTCGTGGTGTTTTTTTTGTTTGTTTTTTTTTTGTTTTTTTTTTGTTGTTGTTGTTGTTGTTTTTTCCATTTTCTTTTTAATTTTTAATATTCTCAATAACGAAACTGGATCTTCTCTGGTATTGATATATGTATTGTAAAACAATGATCGAACCAACAACTGCTTGCACTCTGGGTAATCTGAAATTTTCAAGTGCGAATAAAACTATTATAATTAGTAAAATAACCAGTAAAATAGTTAAATGCATGGTTCTTTCCCTTTGATTTAGAATCGCCCATGAAACTTTTAAAATGTCAACATCGGTGAGTTTTTCATGCTGCATATTGTTTCGCAAATTCATCTTTGTTCATTTCAGGAATAAATTTTTGAGCTGTTTCATCTCCCACCTCTACCAAATGAGCGCCCAAGCTTTATAATTATGATACTCAATAAGATGAACTTTTATCCCTTCTGGGTACAAATAGATTTGGAGATAAAATACACGCTATAATATCCCATTTCAATTTGGTATAATTTTTACCTTTGCACTGAAAGAACTGGAAAACAGCAAATTTTAACAGTAAATCAAACACTACCAGCCAAGGTGTTCGAAACAGTGAAATGGAAAATTGCTTCGTTTTGAAATGTTTTCACGCTGTTCAAATGTCTTCACAGTGAGTCAGATTTGCTTGCTATAACCATTATTTAATATATATTTTTCATTAACACGTATGTCACTAATATTGTATTTCTTTCACGATGAACAGACTGAGATATTATGTTTATTTTGAATATCATCTGAATATTTACACGCCTTTCATCTGCCTTTCCAAAGCGATAATTAGGATGGTTGAAAATATCATTAGAACAGAAGATAACAGTACATATATTTAACATATATACAAAGCACACACAAACACAGAAAATAGCAATTTAAATTAGATTGCCATGCCGATAATTGACAGGTATCACAATGTTAACTGATGTTGTGTATACATCGATAGGCTTGATCAGAGTTGTGGTGCATTTTTAAAGTAAAATAGTTGTGTTGTTATTTTATCAATTCAAGTTAAATCTATCGATGCCAAGTGTTCATGTCCCCTTTATAATGACAGTGTAATAAAAGCAAACAGTGTTTTGTTACAGCATGCCATTGCGCACTACATTGTTAAAACATTAACTCTTTTGATAGAGTCGTTGGCGGACTCATCAATACATTCCGTTCACATGTACAGTGTTAAGTAATATGTTTTCAAGAAAAGGAGACATTTATATAGATACCTGTGCTGCATTCTCATTATACATGTTTTTTAAAGCATCGGCATCAAATGTGCATGTAAATAAATGGCATCTGTATACAAGCTTACTTTACCAGGATATCTATACTACGTGACAGGTGATTGTTTATGAACTACAACATAGATTTAGGACAACTGGTACGTGGCGATTAATAACGGCATGTTTTGTTAAAGAACCACATTTTGTTTGACAGCTGCAAAGTACTAATAATCAAGTTATTTCTATGTATTTCTGTCGAGACAATAGTGATGGTGATATATTTCCGCTGTGCCAGAAACGATTTCATGTTATTTGTGTACGTTCCACACCCACATATTGCCGTTCACCTGCAAGATTTGACATTCAATTGTTCTATGAATTCACCTGGCCTCTATTCTGATGACTGATAATTATATAATTTATTGACTTATCCTGCACCTATTTCTGATAAAAAAGACAATGGCATACCTTGGAAATACATTTTGAAAGAATATCAAAACGTAAAACAAGTATTTTAACATCACTTGATCTTGTATCAGTTTATGGGTATTACGTATCCATATTTATTTTCATATTTACTATGAAAAATGTGATACTTTCTGAAATTTCAAATCAAATTTCAGTAGAAGTTTCCTATGTCATTTCTGAGATTTTGCCAGAAAGTCAAAACAAAGTGTCTGCTTTAGAGGAATGAAAATGTTCGGTATAAACATTATCTATCATGTCATCTAAAAGACCGGTGCGTGTTACAAATAAACCGTAAGAATTAGTGATCATTTTTGATATTCTTAAGATGTTTTGAACATATTTTGTTAATTTCATTTAAATAGTTCAGATTCTTTATACAAAATAAGTATTTTCAAAAAGGAAATGAATAAATTTTGTCTAGCGTAATAACTCTTAATATTCATTTATTTACTTTTCACCAACTTTGTAATGGTCATATGACGACATTCCAGCTTTATAGGAAGAAAAGCTCAGGTGCTTCGCTGATAAATTAAGATAAGTATCCGCATTTCATATTGTTCATGACTTCGACATAAGGTATAAATAAGGCCTAAGTGTGTGCGTTTGTGTGTGTGTGTGTGTGTGTGTGTGTGTGTGCGTGCGTGCGTGCATGCAGGCGCTCGTGTGTGTGGATCACTCTACATTTATTACGTTTAAATAGCGGAAACATTTATAAATTCATAAATAAAAACGTCAGTGACATTATTATCGCATAGTGACATACTTGACAAGCTTATGAGAGTAGCGTGTATTTTAGAAACAGTACTTGAGAAATTATGAGTACAAGTACAGAATCTTTTCGCATTTATACTGATAACTGAGTGCAACGTAACTAACGGTAATCAGAAAAACACAGTACTTGTACCTAGAGTACTTAATACACTTGTAACCCATTTCAAGTAAATACTATGGTATTTAATCAATTAATATTTTGAAAACATCAACAAACTATATATGTGATTCAACCATATGAGTTTTCGTTATTTCCGTTTTCCGCCCCTCAAAAGAAAATTTCAGGTAGGACAAGTGTAGGTAAAAAAGGTGAAATTAAAATATGTGTTATGCATCATCATGATATCTATACATACTTCATTTCCCAAATGCATCAGAGCCTAACTACGCAAATAAGAAATGTTGAAAGGCAATTTCAATGTAAAGGCAATTCCGCTTGATATTGTGATACATGTAAACACGAAGTAAATAAACCAGGTTTGTCGATTACATTGAACAAATAATTTGTGATAGCAATATCACAAATTATGGCAACCAGTTATGCCTTTTTATCAATAAAAACATTCTAATACACATATATTATATTCAAAGGAGAGATGAAGGAAATAGACTTTGACATTGTCTTTATAAAAGGTATTGCAGTGTCTTGTGAGCACCGGATTATTATTAAATGATCTTCTTGTAAAGCCACTGGTGGTCTAAATTGACATTTTTTAAATAAAATTCTAGTCAAAAACAATTCCAGCAAGAAGTAGGTTATGTCATATAAAGGTTTGATTTATGATTTTAGCACTTAAGGTTACGTGTCTCTTGTTAACAATTCTTCAAAGCAATATTTTGTCTTGCTGTTTTTTGTTTGTGTTTTTTTGTTGTTTTTTTTTTTGTTAATATTTTAGAATGAGAAATCCGTTGAACATATTCCAGTATCAGGGTCACTTTCCCAAAGAGCGCCCCCATTTGTTCTTGCAGCTTTAACTGAAACCTTATCCAATGCTTTCAGTAAGGTAGAAGTACTATATGAATGGCATGTTGACCATCTACTTGTATCATCGAGTCCTAGGCCTCTAAAAATTGCTTGGTCATTGGCAACGATCTCAAAATACAAATATTTGTCCGATGTGATGCAAAGTTGAAGATTAAACATGTAAAGTCCTCCAACAGGTGCCGTGAATATTCCAGTTGTTTTGTCATACGCTGATCCATTGTTTGACATAATTGATGAAAATACCAGTGTTTCTTTTATAGCAGGTGACTTATTCTTGATTCCTCTTGCACTAAAGTGAATTATTTCTGCTTTATCTGTGAAAATACAAAAAATAACAGAAATTATAAAGATTAATATCAACCAAAGTGCAATAAAATGAAATGATAAGTTCCATACACACTACACCAATAATGATAATAATAAAATCTTAAAGCGCTTTTAAAACACTCAAAACACTTTGGTTATTTGTGTTGAATGTTAGATATAAAGCACAATTAAATATCATTGTCACATGATCTTTCTCTTTCATGTGCTGAAGCCGTCTAAGAAAATTCTTGTGCATGATTTTGAATTTGTTATAATCATTTAAATGGGCATAACTCTATCACAAATGGATTGCAGGTAAACTCAATCTAAATCTATGTTTGTATAAAATTTAATGCCAAAACAATCACAATAATTACAACCCTTAAACCTGTAAAATATGTAATTCATCAAAAGTTATTCTGCAGAAACCACTAATATTTTTTTGCTGAAAATATGCGTATAATGGACATAACTCTATCAATAACGAGTTGATTGAACGTAATCAAATACTTCAACAATTATAACAAATATTCTCACATGCACAGGAAGAAAACGGTGAAAACGATTTAAAACTTCCCAAAATAAAACATTTTTCACCTCTCCCTCCGACAAAGCCTTTTAAGACAAGGGCGTATATCGGCTTATTTTGAGTATACGCTTTGATCATCAAGCTTGGTTTATTTCATTTTAAAACATTTTCTTTTTTTTTTTTGTTAGTTTTCTTTTGTTTCATCATAACTTAACAAGAGATATAATCAAGGAAAATATTGCTTTAAATGATGATGGTCATATTTATTACATTCCTTATACGTTTTCAAAGATTTGTTTACATTTAAAACATCTAAAGCCACGTCGTAGAATTATTTTTTATTAGTATTAAGTCCGTGGTTATTATGAATAAATGCCGAGGACGTTATTTATGCGATATGGAGGCCGTATAAAGTCGCCCTTACTTATGATCAAAGATGTTATTTTTTCCATTTTTTAAGAAAGTTCAGCACAACATTACTGTATGTACATGTTACGTGTTTTTTTAGTTTCTTATATTGGACCATTTTCATCTTGGTTGGTTCCAGCATTCCTACTTTAATACTGTATAATCACCCTTAGGAATGTTTTCTGCTTTATAAAATTGTCGTTTTACGTTTTGTCTGTGATATACAGGTTCCATCACCTCAAATCCCCACTCAAAATTCCATTTTATTTAGTTCTGCCCATGGTTTTCTCGTTTAGGGCAAACGCATTCCTTGAATTGAGGACCACGGAATAGCAATAACATGTAACATTGAAGGTTCCATAATACTGGCCGTATGAACACATATGCAGATATTTCTTAATTCAAAATTTTACCATTTCAACTGAATATTGCTTAAGCCGGTGCTAGGGGTGTGGACATTAACTTGCATTTTACAGTAACCATGAACAGGCTCAATTCAACCGAGCTTGCAACATTTTCAATTTGTCGTTTTTGGCGTTCTTTGGGGTTTCCATTTTATTCTATTTTAAGTTCGGATCATGTGATTTTTTATGAGAACTTAAACGTAATTTGAGCAAACACAGCTTAATTGACAATTCAAGGGAAAAATACATCAGTTTTATTGTGAGAAACTAGATTCTACCGTATTGAACTTTGTAAGTTTTAATATACATAAAGGAAGACACTCTGTAAGTTACTGTACTGTAGAGTACAGATACAGGAATTTCAATAGAGAAACATCAAGTAGATCTTATTAAAAATAGTGCTACTATCAAGTGTATTAAAGACATTTATACACGTGGAAAGTGATAATCTGGAATGAATAATGCACTCGGACCGACTATCACCATCCGGTCCTACCTTTCCGTATATAAACCTCTTATTTAACACCGCTGTGACCAAAATTGATTCTTACACAATCGTACAAAATTATTGTGTGACGAAAAAGTAGTCTGATTAACTACTGTACTACCTGAACGATTACTATTAATATGAAAACTACTTGAACAGATATAAATCGTTTCCGTATTCAAAAACACAAAAACAGTACATGTCAAACTTTACCTTTCTCAGGTTTTAAGTCCTTCAAAATATTTTCAATATCCACGATCCTTGATGTTATTTGTTTAAGCATTTTGGTAGATTCAGTTCGTTCAGTTGTTATATAAGCCAATGTGTCGTGAAGGTTTCCTTTAGTTTCATCAACGTCCGCCTTAAGTTTGTCCACTAAAATCTCCACCGTAATCATCTTTCTTAATGTTTGCTCCTCATAGTGAAATTTTGAACATGATTGTTCTGCTGATAACAAAGCCAAAGAGCAGAAAAATATTCCTAGGGATCGGAACATCGTCACTTACTGGGATGTTTATTATTATCTCCCTGTAAAGTTTATGAAAGATCTGTACTTTAGGTAGCGATGTTTATACAAACCATCATAAGGGCTGGTCATAATTTTCTGTTAACATTACTAACTGTTTGTGATTACTCTGACACGTGACAAAAATTTATTTAAGATGATACGGTGGAAAGTTTAAAGGAATAAAAAGAGTAATGCTTTTTCAAATTTATTCCTAAGAAATTTATAAAGTGACATATCAGACAAAATGTTTGTTTTTTTATCTCAATTTTTGCTTTATCATTCTAGATCAAATTATAAAAAATAAGTCTCTTATGGTGTATTGCACGTCGAACCAATTTGTTCGGCCACATTTTAGATACATAATTCTTCTACTTTTACACCTCTGACGTGTCTTGCTTTTGTATATTTGTATCTTACTTAGACACTGCATTAAATATTGCAGTGAACAATATCCGAATAGAGAGTTAGGTCAGATCGTAATGAAGTAATACCTGCTAGCAATGCGTAATTACAACCTTTATTTTAGTCAAATTGACACATTTGTTATTGCAAGCAAATATTGACAATCACTATTTCTTCATCTGTTCTCGAAACGTCATGATTTTGTAATTCGGCATATCAATATATTTATTTGGATTTTTATGTTATATTAATTAAGATGATTGACAATATATTGTATCAGCTTTACATAATTGAGTATCAACTAGGCTTGAACTTTGCGAACATCCCTTTATGTAAAAACATACAGAAGTAATACATTGTGAGTTCCTTATGAAAGTCTTACATCTTAGAACAAGTACACCCCTGTATATGCTATATGCAGAATCTGGCAGATACCCAATTAATATTACAATTAAATGCAGGATGATTGGTTTCTGGAACAGATTAATATTAGGAAACAGAAATAAAATTGCATACAAAATATATCAATATATGATTAATTGCCAAGATTTTGAATTTAAATGGCTCAGCTACATTAAAAGTATACTTTCAAATACTGGTAGGAATGACTTATGGCTAAATCAGACAAATATTCAGAGCAAAACGATCAAATGTGTTATTAAACAGGTACTTTTAGATCAGAATTATCAAATGTGGCATGAAACTCTACAAAATTCAAGCAAAGGGAGAAATTATTCTATATATAAAGAAAATATATGCCTTGAAAATTATTTATTGACTCTTGATAAGGGAGATTTTATAAATATGATTAAATTTAGAACAGGAAACCATTTTTTCCCGATAGAAATCGGCAGATGGGAAGGTACAGATTTTTCTGAGAGAAAATGTTCTCTTTGTAGTTTAAATGACATAGGAGATGAACTCCATTATCTGTTGAAATGCACCTTTTTTGATGACCACAGAAAAAAATATATTAACAGATATTATTATAGGAATCCAAACATTATAAAATTTAAAATGTTATTAACGAATTCAAGTCCTATGCAATTACAAAAACTTTGTAAATTCATTAAATACTATTTGAAACAATATGGAGGTAATGTTTGTAACAAATCATGCAATATAATGTTTGTCAGGGAAAAAAATGCTTATTTATATTTTTCGAAATTCTGTCAATTGCCATTATCTGTTCATATTAAGACTTCATGTTTGCTTCACGCTGACTATTGTTGTCATCTTTAATATGCTATATAGAATGTATATTAATGCCATAACATGCAAACTGTATAATAACGCAATATATACTAGTAACCCGATTCTACATTGCAAATCAAATTAATGTTCCCAACCACTTCCCTACCTGTCTAAACATGGCATAAGTCTAAAAACGCAACACAAATTAATAAATTAATATCATAAGAAAAAAGGTTAAACAATTAGTTTTGCGCAAAATACCTTTTTTCTGTTGACAAGTACGCACATTAATCCGTGTTTGTTTTTTGTTTGTACTAGTAAATAAAGACATACTTTCTAGAAGCGCGACACACTTTAACTCTGTCACGATTCGCACGATCTAATTCAAGGTCAACAAATTTGAACCAATCAGATAAGACTGAAATAGACACGAATGCCAATACTCCTACAACTGTCTATAGTCTGTTTTAAGATTCATACCATTTTCACACCTGTATAAATATACGACTTCACCGTTTGGAATAATTCTCGCATCGCCCCCCCCCCCACTCCCCTCATCAATGTACTTATTATAATAAATGAATATTTAAATTTACTGAAAATATCGCTTTATAATACTGTTTGCATACACCACATGTCATGTGTTTTGAAATTTGCATTTACTCTGAAATCTCATATGTCTTTTGATTTGAGATAATAATGTATTGTTCTGTTCTGTTCTGTAATTTGTAAACATATTTTTACAGATAATAAGATAACTTTCAACCCAGGGATAAAAAACAAACGTTTTTGTTTTCGAGATACATTGAGATAAAATATATGTTCGCAATTTTCTTTTTTATATCAAATTACAATGTCCTGTAGCACACATCAATCCAAATATTTTCCTTCGATGCATGTTAAACATGATAATGGAAAATCAACACCTTGTTTTCGTCTTTACTCTAGTGATGTGTTATAAAAGATACTTAAGGGATTACTTTAGTGATACTTACCGATATTGGTCCGATATTAGTACTTAAGAACCCAAGCAAAGGTTCATATTAAAGAAAGTTTTCAAATGAAATTACAAATGAAAATACAAAATAATTTCTACCAAACATTAATTTAGATTGATGAATAACATAATTGGTTCAATTCATCAAACAAATGTTAACCAAAGAAAATCAGTAAACTTTTTATAAGAAGTGTAATAGTTTAATGCCTGGTATATTATACATTTTCTACATAATTTTGTTTAGAACGGACACTTTTCTTTGCTATTCACTATTATGAATAATAATTATCAATAAAAACAACATGAAATTAAAAGATGGAAAAGTCAATGTCTCTTTTGATATTGAAATACTCTGATTTTCGATTTCATTAATAGTATAATATTCTTAAAACAACGAACAATTCTATTCTCATAAACCACGTGTAACACAACGTACCCTATGTGTAATACGAGAAATGATAAAAAATGACCGGAGTCTATAGATGTTTCATAACCTGTTTATAAGCCCATTATGCCTTAGAAATGCTTTTTTTTCAAAAGCTTTTTAATTATTATATACTTTAATAGTATCCAAACCGAAAGCATAGAATCTGTAAGATTCTATTATTTGAAAAAAATACTATTCATTTAATACAAAAATATTAAAGTTAACACATTTTATTTTAATTCAAGTTTATAAAGAAATTCTTAACAAACGAGCAAAAACAAACATACAAGAAAGAATGTTTACTCTGGTGAGAATCCATAAGATTTTTATCTGTTTATATAAACAAGTACTGTTAAATTATTTTTTGTTAAATATTCTAAAAGAAACACAACCAATCTTAATTCAAATTTAAAAAAAATTGTTATCAAACAAACAAACAAACACAAACAATCAAGAGAGAATGTATACTCTGGTTCCAAAGAAAACTATATAACTTTGTATACAGATAGAAGCGTCACATACACCAATAACTGTCATATTTGCCAAATGCGTACCAGTTTTGACGTGTACTTGACAACGATATCAAAAGCATTTAATCCCAAAGGGTAAATATTCACATCTGTTTGCTCACAGTCTGTATATGCATGTTATCTAAATAAACTTTTCATAAAATAATAAAATAGGCGACAGATATATGTCATACTTTGATCAGATAAACTTTACTAAATTTCTTAATCATAAGAGTGAGAAACACAGAATTTCACAAAACAAATTGTTTGTAATTAGTAGCGTTACGAAATCATGATGCTTAATTTCTAAGACCTGGATTTTATATTTGTCGGTAAAAATTGTGTGATCTTACCAAAATGAAAATATGGAATGTGAAATATAAGAATGCAGGCTGAAACAACATATAAATAAATCTATAACAATCTTTAACACTTTAACAACTGTTCAACTGACATAAAAGATAAGCTATTTAAGTTCGGTAGTATGAATTGATATCTCTTAGAATTTGTTCATCATTATACAAATTATTTCAAATAACATACTTGTCTAAAACAATTTCAGCAAGAAGTAGGTGAAGTCATAAAAAGATTTGTTTTTAGCAAATCAGCAGCATCCTAGTTTACTTGTCTCATTTTAACAATTCTTCAAAGCTTTATTTTATTTATTTATTTATCTTCTATTTTAGAATGATAAATCCGTTAAACATATTCCAGGCGTCGGAGTCACTTTCCCAAAGAGCGTTCCCGTTTGTACTGGCAGCTTTAACTGAAACCTTATCCAATGCTTTAAGTATGGTAGAAGTACTATATGAATGGCATAATGACCATTTACTTGTATCATCGAGTCCTAGGCCTTTGAAAATTGCTTGGTCATTGGCAACGATCTCAAAATACAAATATTTGTCCCGATTGATGCAAAGTTGAAGATTAAACATGTAAAGTCCACCAACAGGTGCCGTGAATATTCCGGTTGTTTTGTCATACGCCGATCCATGGTTTGACATAATTGATGAAAACACCAGTGTTTCTTTTGCGGCAGGTGACGCATTCTTGATTCCTCTCGCACTAAAGTGAATTATTTCCGCTGTTTCTGTTAAAATACAAAAAGACAGAAACTATGCAGATTAATATTGACCAGATTGCAATTAAATAAAATGATAATTTCCATAATCAAAGCGCTGAAAGCACTGCTGGGGCGCATTATGTTGATTGTATAGTGGTCTATTGTTACAAGCAGATGCCATTCCTACTTTCAAAGCAGAAAACAATATTTTTTTACTCGATTATTCGATAAGAATAAGTAAATTATCCTAGTCATCTGAACGTCGGCGTCTATCACCTCAATTTTTTTCCCGAAGTCCATTGACATATGGCATTAAAACTTTGCCACACTTGATCCCGATCAGGATCCATATGTTAAAGATTGCCTTTATGGTTTCAAGATATTTTCGTATTCCATAGACATCTGGCTTTGAAATAAATTGAAAATTTATACATTTCTTTGCAAGCATACTAGCTAGGACTCTCTCCCATGCTTATATCTGTAGAATGGTTTTTTAAAACAAATTTGGTCCTTTTGTGAACTTAAAATATTTTAAATAACCAAGGTTCTTCTATTGTCAAGCACTAAGCATAAAGTTGAGTGTACTGTCCTACCGACAGCTATTGTATACCTTGTGAAATATAACTCCTTCAAACTTTTGTTGAGTTATTATTATACTGTCATGGTTCAGAACTGTTCACTATTAAGGGGAGAAGATGTGTAAGCGGCCGGAAAGCTCAGTCGGTAGAGCCGCGGAACGGTATTCCGAGGGTCCCGGGTTCGAGTCCCTGTCAGACTGCACATTTTTCTCACCCTGTGACAATACTTACGCAAGAACTGTCTGAGGACAGTAAGGCTCGACTATTCGAAAAAAGTTGTCAAAAGGGTGTTAATTGAGTATATGAACACATAAAACTGACGGAAAAGGTACAAAGGCTTGGATTAAGATGTTTTATCAAGTAAATCACTGCTTTATTATCATGAATGCATAAAATTCTCCCAAAAAAAGGCACAAACCCTTCAGTAGTTATGGAGATAACATGCTTACAAGCAAAACTTTACCATTAATCTCTTAGTTGAAAAGGGGAGAAAAATCAGCTTAAATGCTAGATAAAATTATGGATCTTGGTCAGTAACCTACATGTACAATTATGACCCTAAATGCATGTGAAGTTTTAATATTGTAGGCAGAGTTATTCAACTTCTCAATCTGATTGTACATTGTTACTATAAATAACTATTGTAAGTTTCAATTGAATATCTCAAGCAATAATCGAGATATTTGACTTTAAAATTAACTTTAACCAACGCAGACGCGGACGCTGGGTTACTACAATAGCTCTCATATTTTTCAAATAGTCGAGCCTAAAACCCACGAAGTCATGGTTGAGACCATATAGTTATTCCATATAAAAATATACATGTATATATCATGGAAAACTTTTTAAGATAATACAATGGATTGTAGTGTATAACACGAAAATCAGTGTACTTTTACTGTATTTATTCAAATAATCATACAAACATCTGTAAATAACTGGAACAAAATATCAGTAATCACATGTATCGCCTCATGATGGCCAATTTCATGTTGGGTCAAATTTTGTGACAGACGGACAGTGCACAACTAGACTTGGTACTGATCATTCCTGTAAAGTTTGGATAAAATTGCACCAATAGTTAATGAGGAGTAGACCGGACAAGCTTTTGCGTATCTGGCAACACACAGGAAAAAACACCTTTTTATCAAGGGCCATTACTCGGCCAAAAATCATTCAACCAGAAAACCCGTGCAATATGCGCAAGGACTTGAGCTTTAGATTAATCCTGTAAAGTTTCATTGAAATTGCATTAGTCGTATAAGAGAAGTAGTCCAGACAAACTTTATAAATAAAAATTATTAAAGGGCCATAACTCTGACAAAAATCATTGAACAGGAAGATGCTGACAATATGCACAACTAGACTTGGTACTGATCCATTTCTGTAAAGTTTGGATGAAATTGCACCAGTAGTTTATGAGGAGTAGTCCAGACAAGCTTTTGTGTATCTGGCAACACACAGAAAAAAACACCTTTTTATCAAGGGCCATAACTCAGCCAAAAATCGTTTAACCCGAAAACCCTTGCAATATGAGCAAGGACTTGAGCTACAGAACAATCCTGTAAAGTTTCATTGAAATTACATTAGTAGTATAAGAGAAGTAGTCCGGACAAACTTTAAAATTAAAAATTATCAAAGGGCCATAACTCTGACAAAAATCATTGAACCAGAAAATGCTGACAATATGCACAACTAGACTTGGTACTGATCATTCCTGTAAAGTTTGGATGAAATTGCACCAGTAGTTTATGAGGAGTAGTCTGGACAAGTTTTGTGACGGACAAACGGACAGACGACGGAGAAGTGATCCCTATCTATCGCCACTACTCCGTAGAGGCGACACAAAAACCATACAAAAAAAACAAAAACTGATGATGACAGAACGGGGTATCACTTTATGCCTTTATAATTTTTTTGCTCAAGTGATTTTTTTTCCGAAGAGCTACATGTGAAATTGCTGCCAAATATACATAGGTAAAAACTATTTCAAAGCTGCATGCATTCATATAAATATATTTAAAAAAATTCAAACTTGAGTGAATAGAAAAAAAACTCAAGGATAGCCCAAACTTGTTAATTATAAAAAATATATATATACTGAATATTATGTTGTAGTAGCCCTCTGGGGCTTTGTATTTTGCTACAAGCAGCGGTGGGAAATTGATATCTTGCGAGACCAAAGGGCGAGCTAGATATCAATTTTCCAACATTGCAAGTAGGCAAGTAGAAAAATGAATAGCCCCAGAAAGCTACTACAACATAATTTTCCTTTTATAATATACCTTTTCGTTTGAAGTATAAATGATTTTCATTATACTACACTTATATAAGAAATTTCAAAAAAAGAAATGTAGCTGTCAAGAAATAAATTATGACTGACAGATGAATACCTAATTTGTGCAAAACCAGCCACACCTTTTATTATCTTGGTTGCCGTTTCCATATACTACGTTATACACAGCTAAGATCAGAACCAACGTCAAAAATAGTCCAGTCCTTTCATATATGGTACTGTATTTGTCTCTAACATAATACAGAATTTTCTAACAGTTGAAGCCTATTTGCGCTTCAAGATTATCCTGTACTTTAGGAAGAAAATTCATAGGTATATAATAAATGCTGTCATTGACATTTTTTATGTTTATATTTTATTATATGTATTTCTTGCAATCCTATTTATAGCTACAAATTCTATGAATTAAAATAGAAAATGAAGATAGCATGCAGACGGTGTTGATATTGTGTGTTAAAAATTTAAAGATCATTGGAAATCATCCGAGTAACCAAATATTCGATCTGAAAAATGACCGAGTACTCGAGTATTGATTTAAGTATTTGTTGCCACCCCATAAAAAAATAAAGTACTTGACAAGATCAACTAACATCTAAATAAAAAACTTTGAAAACAGAATTAATTATTTTGAAGAATTCACTCTGAGCTGTATTATTCAAAATGGGTGTTCAAACACATTGAAAACATTGATAAGTCATCTCGACTCATGTTCTTGGTGATGAAGTGGTGCCTCAATATAGTTATCACTGCAATCTATCTTCCCTCATAACTCCTACTATTACTGTAACTGTCAAACAAGCATCTCTGTTTTCTGAAATAGAGTTTTGAAAAAGTTTATTGCTGACCGAGATATTCCATACTTGTATGTTAACTTTTTTCAGCATTTCTCTGTTAGAATTACTCTGATTTATAAAGGTATAAAACCAAACTAGAAATGTGTCATCATGCCACGGATGCCCCCACATGCAGCCAAAATTTCAGATGGTGCATTAATTATTTTTTTCATTTTAAGTTCAAAGCCCTTAAAACTTTTCGATGTTAACACAAACCATTTTCATACAATGTTCAAGGCACTGAAATGATTCAGTCTTAACCTTTTAAAAATAGCATATTGCATATTTGTAGCCAAAATAATGGCTAAAAGTATGAGTGCTGAAACTGAAAGTTCAAAATTTTTCCAACATTCAGGAAAGATAAGTTTGTCTAAAATCATTGAACCACGACCAAATTCAAACTAAAACTGCTTATTCCTAAGATGTATCTATATTATTTTCAAAGTGAAAGGGGCATTACTCTGCCAAAAAATCATCAAACCATGACCAAATTCCAACTTGACCTGCCCATTCCTTTGACATATCCATATGTTAAATTTAAGTTGAATATGTAAAACTGTTGGGTAGATAATGAACAGAAACTGTAAATTTCATATCATTTTCAAAGTGAAAAGGGCATTACTCTGTCAAAATTCATTGAACCATGACAAATTCGAACTTTGCCTGGGCATTCCAAAAACATATCCATATGTCAAATGTGAGTTGAATGTGTTGTACCATTGGGGAGATAATGAACAGAAACTGAAAATTTCATATTTTTTTCAAAGTAAAAGGGGCATAACTCTGCCAAAAATCATGAACCATGACCAAATTCGAACTTGACCTGTATTTTTTCATGACATATCCATATGTCAATTCTGAGTTGAATGTGTTGTACCGTTGGGGAGATAATGAACAGAAACTGAAATTTCATATTATTTTCAAAGTAAAAGGGGCATAACTCTGCCAAAAATCATTGAACCATGACCAAATTCGAATTTGACCTGTATTTTTTTCATGGCATATCCATATGTCAAATTTAAATTGAATGTGTGCAATCGTTCTTAAGATAATGAACGGAAACTGATGATGACGGAATGACAGAAGGATGGAGGATGGAACAGGGTAACACTATATGCCCCGGCCATTACATGGCGGGGGCATAAAAATGCGCGACCAATGCCAGTGCTCAAACCCTCTGTGCATTATTTCACAAACGAGCATCTGAGTAGAACCACTTCCTTTTTTTAAAGCTAGCTGGATTGCTTTCTCACATTAAAGAATCCATATTAAATATAATAGAACATTGATAATTGCTACACAGTCTCTTTGTAAACATAAAATAAGCATGTTTTGTGTTTACATAAAGTAGCTATGTAATGTTAAAACACCACATGCTAATGGTGGTCACAATATAAATATATAGTGTTGTTATGAAACTGACAGTTTTTTTTAAGAAAGGACCAAATTGTTTTTGTCTCGTAAGAAGGAACATGGCTTCCATTGCATAGTTAATTCATTATTTCATTCAAATTAGACATATTCAAAAAGAGTTTCATAGAATTCAATAAATTTTTATGATTAAAATATTTTACTGATGAGCATAGTATATCTTTAAAGGTAAGTGGTTTAGGTACATTACTTTGACTATGGTCACCCCAATTAAATCTATTTATTTGCTTAGTAACACAACTTTTCAAAGTCATATAAATTTGTAAATGTGAGTGATTCTGATAATCTATATACAGTTTGAGCTAAGTCAAGATGAGATGATTAGATTTTACTGACTGCTTACTACATGAAGTCACTATTTCAATGTCAAATGCCTTGAAAACTTGAATTTCAAAATACAATTTAAGTCAATTACATGTCACAAATGAGCCGTGTCATGATAAAACCAAAATAATGGGTTTGCGACCAGCATGGATCCAGACCAGCTTGCCCATCCACGCAGTCTAATCAGGATCCATGCTGTTCGCTTACAAACCCTATTACAAGAAGAGAAACTGATAGCAAACAGTATGGATCCTGATCAGACTGCACGGATGCTCAGGCTAGTCTGGATCCATGCTGGTCGCAAACCCATTATGTTGGTTTTGTCATGACACGGCTAAAATGTTTTTGCTATCGACTTTTGTTCCTAAATTAACAACAGATTGCATGATGAAATGATATTGAAATAATTAATATACATTTGGCTCTTAGTGCCAAGCTTACTGATTTTAAATAAGCCTTGAGTCCTGTGTTGGCCTTTAAACATGTCAAATATTTAGAAATTATTTATTAAGGGAAAGTGTATACAAATAATCATGTACCTCTTCATTATAGCCCATGACATTGAAAAAACATTGTGTCATCTGTTTACTTCAAGGTTAGTCACATTGACAGTATTACATTTTAGACTATCTCTCTTGATGCATTCTCAAAATGGGTCCTCTTAATTTCACATTCATCAATCTGACAAAAACCTCCTGAAAAAGAAAAAGTTAGAAACATATGCCACTAATTATGTCAGTTTAAATGTCAAATAAATACTTTGAGAAACTATTTGGTCAAAGTTGTAAATGCACAAAGATTTTCAAACCATTAACATTTCCTTTTTAACTTTCTAACATATATAATGTATGGTCTTACTTGAAGAAAATGCTTGCCCGGAACTGAACACTACCAACTTACCATCTTTTTGGTACCACTGAAAATAGATAGTAAAGGCCTTAATCTTTTTATTCTAAAATAACAGTTAAATAACATCTTATGAAATTATGACTAATAAGCATGTTAAAAAATTGAGAAGAGGCAATTTTTTGAGTCATTCCACACAGAACTTATGTAGAAATGACTGACCAATACAGTTAATTCATTCTATTGAGCAAATGTTATTTACACAATTTATGGAAATTATAACTAATTATGAATTCAATATTCATCACTCCACTTATTGTGAAATCATTTATTCAAAAGACTTGCATTCAAGTATGATATAAAATGTATAAAGGTTTATGGTCAGAATAATAAGATTCTAGTGTACCAAATTTTTGCACTTTATTCAAAGGCAAGCCGCAATTAATATGATCAAGACAGCTGCCATAATCAGTAGTTACTGAATCAATGAGTTGAACTGAACTGAGTACTTCCTGTATAATTTTAGCAACTGGTTTGTTCTCAGTATAATCATAATTGAAATCTCCCATTAAAATAAGCTTTTTTAAAATTCCAGTCACTTTAAACTCTTTTGAAACAATTTCCAAAATATTGAATAGAAACCCTGAAAAATATGCAACAGTAGCACACCTTGGAGGACAATAAACAAATCCAATAACTATGTCTTGTAAACACAGTAAAGCACATTCTATGTCAGAATGAGTAAAACAAGTAAAATGACAGACATTAATATTTTCCTAGTAATAAATTGCTATCCCATGTGAGGCCTGACCCAAATTGGAAGACAATACACAAAAACCATCTATGCTGTACTGCTCAGATAAAGGACCAGTTAATCTAGTTTCTACTTGCTGGCGTAGTGAGCGCCCTACACGGAAACCCTTAGTTGGTTGGTGTGTGTGGGATACTGGTGTATTATTATTCACGTTTTTTTTTTGTTAAATGAAGGTATTTTATAACACAAAAGTTCAGTGTTGATGTTATTTTATTTATTTTTTATAGTTAATTGTAAGTTTTTAAATACAAAATAATTATATAGTTTACATATATATATTTTTACAGCTAGTACCTGAATTTTGCTTAAGTTAGTTTTACTTATTTATTTTTTAAGTTAAGACTTGATGTTATACATTAACATTTTTAGATAAGACTTAAGATGATGTATGTTTCCAAATTAAAATAAGACTATTAGATGTTTTAAGTTTTGAAATTATTAATGTTTTTATAATTAATTTTTTTAAAGCATTTTGATGAGGAAATGCTATGTTACACATGACACGTTTTTACCTTAATGGCCTGTATAATTATGTTTCACAGCTTCTCAGCAAACAACCAACTGTGCCACAGTTGAAATCTAACAAACAAGCCTTTAATCACACACCTGAAATAAAAACTTTTCCTAATTAATACAATATTTCTTTTAATTTATTACATTCTTCAATAAAACATTAAGAAATATTGATAAAGTTAAATGTTCATTTTCATTTCCTGTATTTTCAATGTAAATATTCATTTTTATTGCATATTTTCACAAGTGTCTCCTAAATTTAGCCTACACACAATAGACTGTAAAGAATAATAGGGCAATCCGGGTCAGCTCGGCCCTAGAACATACTCGGCCCCAAAGTCAGCTCGGCCCCTTTTCCAACTCGGCCCACTTTCTAAAATGGGTAAAAGACTCCTATTGTTACGGGCTATAATTATCAATCAATGTGTATGTTAAGGATACCGATTAATAAGGTGATAATTATGATTGACTCATTCATTCAAATTTGATTAGTAACCACCTGCAATTAATTAGACGCTTATGATATTAAGTAAACACCTTTTTGTTTCATATTTTTTTGAAAATTACTTTACAAACAAAATAAATCTAAGGAAACACATTTTTATTATATGTATATTAATTTTATAGAATATGCAAGACAAATAAATAACTTTTTTTCTAAATATATCGATATACTTTATTTCGGCAGAAGTACAATGTATAATTATATAATAATAAAAAGATATTTCTTATGCCAGGGCATTTTTTCCTTCTATAACAGGGGCCGATAACAGGCCCCTTCACAATTCAAAATTGCACTTTTTTTCACAAAGCGGTGGGAAAAAATTCACAATTTCAAAAGAGATTTCATAAAATTTTTGGACTTTGTCTTCAAGTTTCATTGTTTACCTTCTGGTAAAACTTGATTTTTCCCTATTACAAACATGTAAATAGTTTTAATCAAGTTATATGGCATTTGTGCATGTTTACCAGATTAAAGTACAAGCTCAAAGCAGATTTTACAGAAATTGTTATCAAGTTTCATCATCTTCAGTTTTAAAATTTCATTAAATGGCAAATTTTATAATGTCATTTTTCACAATTTTATGACATATCACACTTTTTTCACAAAATGAACAGGCCCAGGCCCCTTCACAATTTTGGCAAAAAATGCCCTGTATGCCGGCTTTACACAGGAGATGATCATTATACCAAGCCCTCTTACAATATAATTCCCTTTTATGCTCACTATGAGCAAGTTGTGCTCTGGTGAGCATAAACAGGAATTGGGATCACTATTTATCTGTTGTCCCTAATGTGTAATTTTGCTTCTCTTTAAATGATATATCTGAAATCAAAGCACATAAACAACACTACAGGACTACTCTTTCATAGTTGTTTATATTGTTCTATACATATGTCAATGACACCTCTTATATAGAAGTACATACGCACACCTTCATTACTTATTAATGCCTCAACCTTAAATATTTGGCATGTGGTATTGCCTTGTTTACCACTTTAAAATTTGATTATGTATCTACATCATATCGATTTGTTATACCAAGATGAAGTGGACATAATTTTTATTAAAATGCTTAGGGAAAATATGTGAAACTGTAAGTCTTATTGATATAAACTTCAATGCCTCCAGCTTTAATATTGAGTATGTACCAATGCCTTGAGAACTTGTACAAATCTTTGTCTGTCACTCATTCCAATACTAAATAACATATTACAACTTAACTGCGTATAAGAGACTACCTATCTAAAAATATTCTGGTCAATGTCAACAGGCCATATATTAAATGTCCATAGACAACGGGACTTCATTCTATCTGTTTCCATGCATCTTCATATATACTCATATTCCTCTTTGTTAAACTGAGATAACTGACTTCAATAACTTTATATGTCACTTTAAGATTATATCTTGATGTTCGCTGAAGTCTCTTCAGCTACCAGAACTGTCATTTTTACATTTAAACACACCCCTGGAAAAAAATTACGAAGCGAGTCGCTACTAGCTTTTTTAAAAGCTAACCTTGTTATTCATTTACCTTAACAACATGCAAAGCAAAGTAAATACGTTATATATATTTTAGTAAAGTGGGCCAAGTTGGTATAGCGCCGAGCTGACTCTTTTCCAGACATTCAAGGGAAGGAACTGCTAAACTTAAAATTTGATAAGGTCAATTCAGTACAAAAAAAGCTTCACCCGAAAATGGCCGATTGTGAAGAAAATTTGTAAAAAATACAGCTTTAGATTGAAACTTAAATATCAACGTTATGAAATAAAAACATGAACATCAGTCATCTTGAATAACGTTGTATTTTTTGTAAGCAGCCAGAATGCGAATATCGGTATGTCTTAATACCGAATATGACTTATATTTTACAAAGTAATAATTTCTTTATTATATTATAACGCTATTTTGCATGTAAATTCATTGTATGATTATAAAACATCGTACCAAAAAAAAAGTCATAAAAAATTACTTTGTAAAATATAGGTCATATCCGGTATTTAAAATCATATCCGCGGATATATCTCATATCCTGTATTAAGTCATACCCTGTGAATGTTTCTGCAACGATTTGACGACGATTTTGCCACTGATAAATGCAAACCAAGCAAAGTTATTCAACAGTTAGGTAAAAGGGAGATAAGGTTTTTGTAATATAAAACTTACAACTCGTTTTTACACGTGGAACTTCTATATTATCAGCAAAACTTTTTCACGGATGAACTTGTAAACAATGGCGATTGCGGGAAGCGAAAATAGTTCGTATTCATACGCATGCAATGTTTTTCTTAAATTTACACTTTTAAATGAAGCATTAGGCCCTATAAGCTTTAAAGTTAGCTGATCTGAAATCCGTATTCCATTACTTGCTAAATTTTTGATTTCTATGACACTGAATTAACTTGTGACTACATGTAATTTGTACTATATTTATGCAAGTACTTTGGCTATGATCGACCGCTGACGTAGTAATATTAAAATCGCGTAAAGCAAAAATATACATACAATTTTAAAAGACGATTGCAAAATTTAGTACATAATTGGCCAGTCAATTTTAAAATAGATAGGGAACTATGATTTTGGGAGTTACTGCGAAGTTTTGGAACTATTTTGCTTAGCGTAGGTAGCTGACTAATTGTGTTCAAACCATAGTAAATCTGAATTTGTCGTTATTCCTTTGGGGGCGCATTGCGCATGCGCCCCCAAAAACTACACACCATAAAAAAGAATAATCAAATCTTAAAGCACTAATCCAACACTCTAACACTATTGTTAGTTATTTGTTGAATCTAAGGGCATTTAAATATGATTATCACATGACGTTTCCCTTCATGTGCTTAAACCATCAACGAAAACAAATAGTGAATGTGTATTTGTTATAATGACGTTTGAAATATGGGAGTGTGGAAACGGTTTAACGTAAAATACCTCTTTTAGTACAATATACGTTTTGCTACTTTTATGACAAATTATTTCAAATTAAATGCGCTTTCATTACATAAAAATATACTTTTTATTTTCACAATTAAGTGATTTACACAATAATAATATATAGTGGATATTCAAGTGGTATTTAAATAAATATTTCATGAGTAGCGGTACCACGAATGGAATATGATGAGTGATTGATTGATTTTCTTTAGACCGGGCGATTTATCATAGTGATAATTTTCATATCACAAGATGAAAATAAATTTTTAATAATGAATAAAATACATGTCCGACATTACCTTTTTCATCCTTTAAGTCCTTCAGAATATTTTCAATATCCACAATCCTTGAGGTAACTTGTCCAAGCTTTTCGGCAGATTCGGTGCATTCAGTTGTTATGTTAGCCAATGTGTCATGAACGTTTCCTTTTGTTTCTTCAATGTCCGCCTTCAGTTTGTCCACTAAAATCTCGACCATTATCATCTTTCTTAATGTTTGCTCTTCATAATGAAATTTTGAACAAGATGGTTCTGCTGATAACAAAGCAGAAGAGCACAGAAATATTACTAGATATCGGAACATCGTATCTTACAGGGCTTTGTTATCCTTACTTTCTGTAAATATTACTAAAACATTTTGCGGAGGAAGAGATTTATATGCTAAGTATAATAAGGGCCGGTCAAAATGTTCAGTAAATTTTTCAATTTTTTCCATCGCTATAACATGTTCGAAAATTATTCAAAGTATATTTGTGCAGCCTATATCATACTACATTTGTATTATTAAATATTACTAGATATCGGAACATAGTAGCTGGCTGGAATGTTTATTGTTGTCTCCTTGTAACGTTTACTCTAGGGAGCGATTTATATGCGAATCATCAAAAAGGCTGGTCATACTTATCTGTTAACATTGCATGTTTGTAATTGCTATGGCACGTTTTTGAAATAATAAGAATTATATACGTTTTTCTATTTCTCAGCATATATTTTTATATAATTATATAATTAGTACATTTAGAGTGATTTGGTACTTTGTTTGGAAGTAAAAATACTTCTTTACTTTAGGTTTATATTTTGATATTTTGCTACTTTTATAACAAATAATTTCACATTCATCACTACATTTTTCTGGTGACAAGCATCATAAATGCTATAAAATCAATATTAAACCCATGTTTGCCAAATATAGTCATTTCTGAGGTTCACTATGTATTTCAACGCTAGACAATATGGTTGTTTTATTTCAATACTTTTTATCGATTTGTTGGAATATCAAACTAAAGAAATTAATGTTTAAGTTGTATATTGCATTAAATCATATCGAAAATGTTTGCTCAACAAAATTCTTTAATACATTTACCCTTACAATTGTGAATATGTTTAATGGACGTGTCCTGCTTTTAATTTTTTTATATTTAGGTAAAAAAGATTGATTTAATGCAGATTCAATGTAGTGAATAATGTACGAGAAAAGTAAGATTATACATAATTGAAGTTATAGATGCTTGTTTTCAGAATTTAAACTGATTCGGAACTATAACCTTTATTTCCGTCAATCTGACTCTCTTTGTTATTGGAAACAGATACTGAGCATCATTTTTTGTCCTTTTTCTCTTAAATGTATTATTATCAATAAAGCAAAGATGTGTTTTTATTTGGCATTGTTTTTGTGATGCTTATTTAACTAAAGATAATTGACAGTATATAATTTTTGGCTTAATATTTAGAATCAACCGGACTCGAACATTGCAAACAACCCTTTTAGCATTTGTTTTTTGTAAACATATTTTTTTCAGATTGTGTAAGTATAATCCATGGTTTTACCAATGAATTAGAAAGCAACATTTTAGTTTTCGGAATTAGCTTTGATAAATATTTATGTTACCAATTTTCTTCCGAATATTAAGTTGTAAATATTTATGTATTAAGCATATTTACAGCAAAAGATTTTCTTTTGATGTATGTAAAACATGGAAATCGAAAATCAACAGTTTATTTTCTCCACAGCTCTAGCTAATGTTTTATCATAGATGATTAAGCAATTACTTTGGTGCAACATATCGGATGAGAAAACAATTATTGAAAAATATACTTTAACAAAATACAATTACTAGTAGTGTCGAAATTCATAAACAAATACAATTACGTATATAGTTAAATGTGTAAATATGGAATAATCAGTCACGTGTATCTTTTTTCTATTATTGTACTTGAATGAAGCGATTTCACTTTTACAGTACAAAGTCTGGCAAAGTATAGCTTAATTGCCCAAAACAATTAAACTGTGCAAATAATATACAATAATATAAAACATTTCCTATGACAATATATTGATGATATAAAATCTAAAAGCGACATATGCATAACAAATCAAGATATTTGGAAAACAGAAAGCATTGTCTGATGACTTTCACATCTGCATAGATTTCAAATTGTCACTCTTCATATACACATAAAATGATCAAGTTATTTTAATGATAATAGTTTGGGTTTAATTTGAGTAAATTGCCGAACTTTCCAGGTTTTGGTTGGTGCCTTCTGGGTGCCCTACTTTGGTGTGTCGGGCGCTGCATCCTGTGAATGTTGCCTTTGTCTTGTTGATCTTACTTATTGTCTTTTTTTTCTTTCCTGGCAAAAACATTAGATTATAGACTTAACATATCGAACTCATGCATATGAAAATTCCTTTTTCAGTTGCAAAGCTGCCATTGAACAAGACGCGTGATTTACTGTGGAATGACACAATTCAACGATCTGTCTCCAGTCTACCAACGATGTTAAAAGATCGTCCATTATAATAACTTATTTCATATTTAAGGCAATGCTACTATGTCAAGTTATTGATCAAGCATCAATGAGAAAAAACGTGGATAAATTGTATCAATAAGTACGGTGGCATAGAGGGGACATCTATCACGTGCGCACGCGATGGGGGACATCAAAAATATTTTATCTATCAAGTGCGCACGCGATGGGGGACGTCGGAAATTTTTATCTATCACGTGCGCACGCGATGGGGGACATCAGAGATATTTTATCTATCACGTGCGCACGCGATAGAGGACATCAGAAATATTTTATCTGTCACGTGCGCACGCGATGGGGAACATCGGAAAATATTAAAGTACCACGTGCGCACGCGATAGCTACCACATGCGCACGCTATGACTACTACGTGCGCACACGATAGCTACTATGTGCGCACGTACAATTTATAACGTGCGCACGCGAAAGCTTTTAATTTCAAACAATTAATGAATAAGCACTTCCCTGTCCATTTGAGAAATGGAAGGTATTACGTGCGCACGTAGTAGTTATCGCGTGCGCACGTAGTAGCTATCGCGTGCGCACGTAGTAGCTGTCGCGTGCGCACGTATTAGTAGTAGCGTACGCACTGTCCGCAAGAAAACTACATATATTTACGCTATTATCTACGTTACGTCTTACCGCGCTATTTGACGTCAACGTCACTTCTGACGTATGTTGTTATTGTTTATATATTACTGTTGAGATTTTGTACACATTGAATCGAGAGTCAATACAGATCGAACCTACACAACGCCTTTGTATTATTACTTCCAATATACGAAACCACTTCCACATTGGTGCCGTTTGTATAGCTATTGACTAATCATGAATCTACAGAAGCTTATTTCAACAAGAGAAGGTCATCGCAGAATTGTTCAGAGAAAATTAGCAGCAATTGATCAAAATGAGGAAATGTCATCTCTAGAAATTTCATCACTCATAGATTATCTGACAGAGAAAGCTACGATAATTAAAGGATTGAATGAAAAAATCATGTGACGATATTGAAACAGAAATCGTGGAAAGTGAAGAATATTCATACGATTTGGATCTGAGGATTCAAAAATTAAGCGAGACTTACCGGAAGCATACTCAAGACTTAACAAACAATAGTTCCGTTGATCAAGAAAAAAACCCTAAGGAACCTAGACATACGAGTTCGAGTACATTTGCGCAACATAAACTCCCAAAACTTACCATACCTAATTTTGACGGAGATCTTACCAACTGGCAGACTTTCTGGGACTCTTATGAGTCATCTATTCATCTGAATTCTACGTTATCGGACGTTCAGAAGTTCAACTTCTTGCGATCTCTGGTTCAAGGTATAGCAGCACGGTGTATAGGCGGGTTTCCGTTGACGAATGCGAACTATTCAAAGGCAGTGAGTCTTCTAAGGGAGCGCTTCGGACAACCACAGACGATAATTTATAGATACATGCAGTCCTTGCTTGAACTTCCAAGACCTAGCAACAATGTAGTAAGTTTACAATGTTTTTATGATAAAATGGAAACTTTTATCAGAGGTTTAGAATCACTTGGGCAGTCACAGGAATCTTACGGTAGCTTATTAATACCAATAATTTTAGAGAAGTTACCAGGCATAATGAAGCAAAATATGGCACGTGAACATCGCAGTGTAAACTGGGAATTACAAGAGTAAAGGTCAGCTATCTGTAAAGAAATTTCTTTCACGGAAGCACGTATTTCTACTAGTGATATTATCAACCGTGAACCTGATGTTCATATTCCCACAGCATCATTCTTTACTGGAACTAGACAAAGTACAAATGAATGTAAAAATGAACGTAAGAAAGACGTCAATTTTCGGGAAACTTTCAAGAAAGTTTGTCCTTTTTGTAGTGATGAACATTCCCCAAACGAGTGCAGAAAGGTTACATCTTATGAATCGCGTATAGACATTGTAAAAAGAGAACATTTGTGTTTAACTGTTTACGGAAACATCAAGTATCGGCATGTCGTTCCACAAATAGATGTCGTCACTGTCAGCGCAAACATCATTCAAGTATCTGTGACAAATCTGCTAAGCAATCAAACTCAAAGCTGAATCCCAATGCCGCAAGTTTCACCATACCAGCTACTTCCGGTGTTTCAAATCAACCCGAGGCTGCAATTCTACACTCTACCACTGAGCTAAGACATGACGTTCTTCTGAAGACAGCCGTTGCACAGATATGTTTTAACAGCGTTTCATTGGAAACAAATATTCTTTTTGATGAGGGAGCTCAGCGTTCTTTTATCACTGAAGAATTAGCGGAGAAACTACAAATTAAGCAGACCGGAAGTGAAGTCGTTCATTTAGCATCGTTTGGTGATACTAGCCAAAGAGTACGACACATGAGGTAATGTTGTATACAACTTATTACAGACGACAATGAGAAAATATGCATTGATGTTTTGATTGTTCCAAAGATAGCCGTACCGCTGCGAAATATTAATCAGAATATATTAGCCCTCCCATACTTGCATGGTTTAAAGCTAGCTCATCCAGTTACAAATGACAGAGATTTTGAGATATCGTTACTGATTGGAGCAGATTCATATTGGAAAATTGTTCAAGATAAGGTTGTCCGAGGGAATGGTCCAACAGCGGTGCAGTCGAGACTTGGATATCTTTTATCCGGTCCACTTCCGGTTTCCAACTTTCCAGCGTCAATACAACACCAACTTCCGGTTTCTACACTTACAGCGTCCACATCCCAACAGCCTCCAGTTCCCGCACAAGAAACGTCCACCCATTTGTTGAACATTCTAACGTCCTCCCCAGATTCCTTTGATATTGAGAGATTTTGGAAGCTTGAGTCTCTTGGTATATCTCAAGAAGAAGAGAACCCTGAGGCTACATACCTAGAAAACTACCAGCGTGATTCAATCACCTACAATAACGGACGTTACACAGCCAAACTGCCTTGGAAAGAAGATCACGCTATCTTACCAACGAATTATGATATCACCAAGAAACGCACTGAAAACGTAATCAGACGTTTACGTCAAGATCCTAGTAGTCTACAAACGTATGGAGAAATAATCAATGATCAAGAAAAGAGAGGTTTTATTGAGAAGGTAGACGAAGGTATCACACCCCAACACAAGATACATTACATTCCCCACCACGGCGTCAAGAAAGACTCAGTCACAACACCGATACGCATCGTATATGATTGTAGTTGTCATCAGTCACGTAACCAACCAAGCTTAAATGACTGTTTGAAGTCTACGCCACCAGAGCTAAACGATCTCACTCAAATTCTTATCCGTTTTCGGTTACACAGATATGCTGTTACTACCGACATAGAGAAGGCTTTTCTACAAATACAGCTTGCAGAAGAAGACAGAGATGTTACAAGATTTCTTTGGTTAAGTGACTCCAAAAATCCCGACAGTACTTTGATCACCTACAGGTTTAAAGCAGTTCTGTTTGGTGCAACATGTTCCCCGTTCATTCTTAATGCAACGATTTTAAAACATCTAGCAAGTAACAGTGATGTATGGGTCAGTAGTATTTTAAGAAGAGATTTGTACGTGGACAACGTTTTGTCAAGCTTTGAAGATGGAAACCAGGCACTTGCTTACTTCCATGATTCACGAAAGCTTATGTCGTCTGCAAACTTTAACTTACGCTCTTGGAATTAAAATAGCCAGAAACTACGAAATTTAGCCTTAAACTACGACTTACAAGATAGAGATAAAATCACAAAGATACTTGGAATGCGATGGAATACAGAAACAGATATGTTGACTTTCCAACAAACCTATATACCAGTCACAGATACTACAACGAAACGAGAAATCTTGCGACATACGTCAAAAATGTTCGATCCTCTTGGTCTACTTAGTCGGTTACGGTACGTGCTAAGATTATATTGCAACAAATTTGGGAAGTTCGATTGGGATACTCCACTTCCAGCAAATATACAAAAGAGGTGGAAAAATCTTGCTACAGATTTGACTACACTATCCACCACTCAATACAGACGTTGCTATTTTCCCGGAGCAGACGAGAAAATTAGACAAGCAGACGACCATTCACATACTACCTTACACGTGTTTGTAGATGCTAGTCAGTCATCATATGGAGCTGCAGCTTACCTTTCCAATGGTCAAAATACATCACTAATTATGGCAAAGAATCGTGTGGCACCTCTTAAAAAACTTACGTTACCCCGACTAGAATTAATGGCAGCTGTAATAGGTGCTCGACTTTTAAGCCACATAAAGAAGACATTAAAACACACAAATTTCTATCTTTGGTCAGACAGTCAGATTGTTTTACATTGGTTAGAAACAGCTAAAACTTTACCCCGCTTCGTGAGGAACAGAGTCGAAGAAATACAAAAACTGACCGGGGACCGGAAATGGAAATACTGTCCAACCAACTTTAACCCAGCAGATTTACTTACCCGTGGTATAACAGCGATCCAGTTAGTCAATAACAGCCTTTGGCAATATGGACCATCCTGGATCAACAATCAATCAAAATGACCTACATGGAATCCAAAAGATGCAACAGTACTTACAGCTTCCTTATATGACACTTCCGGTCATGAAACCAACACTTCCAGTCCAGACCCTAGCACTATCAGTACTGTTACCACAACTAGCGAGCAAGGCATTCATAGAGTTATTGATATTGACAGATTCGGTTCATACCAGAAACTATTACGTGTTACTGCATATGTGATGAGATTCATACAAAACAGCAAAAGTTCTAAAAAGAGACTCGAACCCCTGTCCCCCAATGAATTACTTCAAGCTGAGAAATTATGGCTAATAGACTGTCAGTCCAGTACTTATCCAGCAGAGATCAGCAACATGAGATCAAGTAAATCCCGCTCACAGCTTGTCAAACAACTTCGACTATTTTTAGATAACGATGGCGGAATCCGTTGCGGAGGTCGAATTCACAATGCCCCATTGGTCGAGAGTTCGAAATTCCCTTACCTGTTACCATCAAAACATAAGTTGACCCGTTTGATTGTACTTCATTACCATCAAAAAATACTACATGCTGGAGTAAATTCTACAATTACTTATATACGACAGAAGTTTTGGATACCTGCTATTCGTCAATGTGTAAAGACAATTCTTCGAAAATGTGTCATTTGCCGGAAAGTCGTTGGCCAAGCATACTCACCCCCAGATCCTCCTCCGTTTCCCAGATATCGAGTACAAGATACCGTTCCATTTACAGTGACAGGTGTAGACTTTACAGGCGCACTTTATGTCAGAACTAAAGACGGAATTGAAACAAAAGCATATATTTGTTTATTTACGTGTGCCTCCACACGAGCGGTGCACTTAGAACTCGTGCCAGATTTGACAGAAGACTCCTTTCTACAAGCATTTAGAAGATTCAGCAGCCGAAAATCTTTACCACATGTCATGATCTCTGATAATGCTTCAACATTTATGGCTGCATCCAACCATATAACACGTTTGTTCGAGTCCCGACATGTACATGACACACTTTCAAGTCATGGTACCACGTGGAAATTCATACCTAAGCGTGCACCTTGGTATGGAGGGTGGTGGGAAAGGTTAATTGGACTCACAAAGACAGCTCTCAAGAAAACCCTAGGCCGTACCTACGTTACATACGACTCTTTGCAGACTGTCATAACCGAGATAGAAGCCGTTATGAATGACCGTCCGTTAACATATGTCTCGTCCGGCAATCGCCCAGAACCAGAACCATTAACACCAGCCCATCTTTTATATGGTAGACGCATTACCACATTACCGTATCATGACACTGTTGATGAAACGGACCTAAGTTTGAGCCTTGGGAAACAACAGAACATTACACAACGTGCCAGAGTTCAGATTAAAATCATAGAAGACTTCCGTAAGAGATGGAGACATGATTACCTAACTGCTCTTCGTGAACAACATCGTACATCCGGAAAAAATAAACAATCCATATCAGTTGGTGACGTAGTACAAGTTCACGATGACATTCCACGTGCACAATGGAAATTGGCGGTCGTTGAACAACTCGTGCACGGGAGAGATGGACTCGTTCGGTCGGCGAAAATTAGAACAGACAGTGGTGTTACCAATAGACCGATAGTGAAACTTTTTCCTTTGGAAGTTACAGAACTTTAACTATGAAATAATATTCATGCATAGTGACACTTCAAAAGACTGTATTAATAACGATAATAACCATAATATTTTGACAAATGAATGCTTAGAGACGATACTTACTTATTTAAATTACTCTTTGATATTGCTGATAAGTTATTTCTGAACATACTGCTTAAATATTCTTAAATCTTTGTGTAATAAGTGTTAAACATTTCGCGGCCCCCAGTATGTCCGCAAGAAAACTACATATATTTACGCTATTATCTACGTTACGTCTTACCGCGCTATTTGACGTCAACGTCACTTCTGACGTATGTTGTTATTGTTTATATATTACTGTTGAGATTTTGTACACATTGAATCGAGAGTCAATACAAATCGAACCTACACAACGCCTTTGTATTATTACTTCCAATATACGAAACCACTTCCACACGCACGTAGTAGCTATCGCGTGCGCACGTAGTAGTTTTCGCGTGCGAACGTGATAGAAATAATATGTCTGATGTCCACATCCCGTGAGCACGTGATAGATAAAATATTTCTGATGTCCCCCATCGCGTGCGCACTTGATAGATAAACTATTGTTGATGTCCCCTCTATGCCACCGTAAATAAGACAGTAAGTATGCATTTTCGTAAGTAATAGCATTTATGTCATTGTTGCCATTTTTATTTTTATAGAAAAGAAAAATCTAAAAAGAAAGACCGGATCAGCATCAATAAACTTAAACTTCCAAAATGTATAAATCTGTTTAAGACATAAATAAATGAAAGGAACATCTTATTCTACAGTGTCTTTTCCATTTTCATTCAAATATCAAAAGTACTTCTTATTTATTGACTAAATGATGTATACTATGATTATAAAGAAGATACGACTGTGAATGTTCTGTATGTCGAAATTCGGAAACTGTCGTTATGTGTTTCCATAAATCATTATTCAAAAATGCTGAAATTGTGGTAAAAAGGCACCTAAAATACATAATAAACACAAATCCTTTAAAATAAAACTGAAAATTCCTGTCGGTGCTGCCTTTAATATTAGTTATTACCTTCCCAAATTGAACTAATTTCAAGGAGTAAACAGTTTAAATCATTATTGTGCTTCCAGCTTGAATTATTCCATGTAATGATTTTAGATTTCATCATTCCATTCATTTTATTGTTTCATCATGTTATCTTGTTCATTAAAATAACTCGAAACCAATTTTAAAAAAAAACTTAGTTTCACTACACATTTTCTCCAACTATGACAAATATAAATATACTTAATGAAAACTAATGGACATTCAATAACAACTATGTCATACTTGTTTTAGAATATTTTTGGCTATAAATCTAACCAAAAATGAAATTCAATATGTTCGGCTCACTCCTGTTTATTGACCAATACAACGCAACCTGGTCTTCTAAAACACAAAACGTTGGATCTCACGTGAGTTGCTGTAAATTATCATATAACTTTAGACATGTTATAATGTCGAATTATTGTTTTTCAGCTTGATAAAAGTTTATTTTCAAACAGCAAACAAAATATATGTATCATCTTACATTGTGCTAATTTATTTAATCTTTTTTAAATAAGATAAACACAATTATTCTAGAGATCTATATAATTATAGCTTTACAAAAAGTAACATTTCCTTGATAATGCACTTAGACATACGTCTCAAAACTTCGTGTGAAATTTTGAGGTTATTTATAAAAAAAATTTTTTACTTTATGTTTGCCACTGTATGTTTGCCACATCGTTTTCATTGGATAATGGTGACGTTTATATTTACATGTATACTATATACACGAATGCTTTAAGTTTAAAAGCAAATATCTTCTTCAATAATAGAAGAAGTTTTCTGCATAATAATTTCGTTATAAACATTACCGACAGGTTCCATAACATTAATAAACGGTTGTTTGCTATTCCTAGCACAGATATCATTTAGGCAAACGTAGGTTTTAGAAGATTTTTCGATCTTCAACATAATTCCATGCCAACAATAAATGAGATGTCTAGTATTTTTATGGACACTTTTGCTATTATTGATATTTACACAGTGCAACATAATAAAATCGTTTTATAAGATATAAACACCATAACTTGTGCTTGAAATATGAACATGCTGAAAACTACACTGACTAATGTACATCTAATCATTTTCCTAATTCTGTCGAACCAAAAATCCATGAAACATATTCCAGTGGTCTGTATTGGTACAAATACATTTCTTAGATCCAGAATGATACTTCACCCAAACCTTTGCTCCGGCCTCCAAGATTGCGGCAGTAGAGAACGAATCTCCAGTGCTCCATTTATTATAATCATCAACACCCACACTCTTTAATATCGGCTCATCATCAACAACAATTTCAAAGTATATATATTGCTCATCTGCTATACAAAGTTGAAGAGTAAAAATATAAAGTCCTGCAACAGGTGCTGTGAACATTCCGGACTGGTGGTCATATGCAGATCCAATATTCGTCAACACCGTTTGAAATATGATCACCTCTCCTGACGACGGAGATGTGTTCTTTACGTTTCTAGCTCTAAACAACACTTCATTTGTTGTACCGTCAGAATCTACAAGAATATAGATAGAACAATAATTTACATCTTCCTTTAAAAAATATCTAAATGAAAAATAATGAATAAATGTATTTAAAATAAATATGTAATTTTATCATTAAAATGACAATTTTCAATTCAACTGACTTTTGTTGTCTCTTTTCCCCTCAAGTAATTATAACCATCTGAGCTTACGGGGGTGGCATTTATTTGAAGAATAAATAGCTTTATGAATCTTGCAGTCAGGCATCTCGGTAGGGATAATTTCCGTGTCTACATATTTAGCGTTGTCTGACCATAGTATAATTAGTGTTGTTTGACCATAGTGTAAAATTCACAATGTATATATATTACATTGCACTAATTTATGCAACAAAAACTAAAAGTAAAGAAGTTTTCCCACCCTCCTACCCAATTTTTAGTATAATTTTGCCTTTTACAATGTTACATTGTTATGCCAATCTGCAAGGTACATTCATTATTGGTGAATTTGTTTAGATTAGTTTTCATAAGTTTGTTTCATTGATACTATATATTTAACATGGCGGTTCTTTCCCCCAACTTTGTCTTTCAAGGAAAACATTTTACAGTTGAATTCTTTCTAGTCACATTATATATGTTTTATGCAATATTATATTTTCACTTTACCCGTCATTTTATCATTAAAATGACACTTTTCAATTCAACTGACTTTTGTTGTTTCTTTTCCCCTGAAGTCAAATATAACCATCTGAGCTTACGGAGATGGATTCATAAATGTATTTAAAATAAATATGTATTATGTCCTTAAAGTTTGACGAAATAAATTTATTTTGAGCCTATGTTTCAATATTCATATGCTTATAAAAAAGAGCATTTTGTTTCTTGAGTAGGATTTCGTGTATATCAATTTTCTTTTGTAGATTATTGACTTTGCCATTAATTCGATTCACGGGCCCTAGAGAAATGAAATAAATATTTAACAATTTTTGTTTTTCGTGTAAATTGTCTTCTTCGTTTAATTGTGTAACAAGTCTATGCATTTTTATAATGATTAGAAAAACAAATATAATTAATTTGTGATTCCTTTTAATTTTGTATGTTGTATCAGTTGATACTTCTTTCGCGTATTTTATTCATCAGGCGGGAAACTCCTCTGAGCAGTGTCTACGGTTTACAAGTTATAGACACTTTTCTAAACTAAAGCTTGGATATTTGAAAAGCTCTTTTTCAGAAATGAGGAAATTCTAAATGATCTTTAATATCATCATCTTTAAGAAAGAAGATATCATATGGAATATTGCTAAGAAACAAAGATCAGCATTCAGCTAACAAAACACATAAGCAAAATGATCGTTTCTGTTCAAAATGTTTGAAATATGTATAGATAAAAATGTTACCCTTCGTATTTTTAAACACTTTTTTGACCATTTCCTACTTAAATATCATTTACGCTTAACAACAATGACAGGCTATTTTTAAAGTTTTTTTTCCAGAAGTATTTTGGTTGATCCTTTGGTGAAATATTAAACTCTACTACAGTGTAGTTTTGACTTAGTTAGCCTTTCAAAATATCAGGTAGCATTTTTTGTTATAAAGTTCAGAATTATGTAGCCGATAAATACCTAAATTAGTTATATTATTTAGATTAAAAAATTTTTAATCCGAAAGGGATCCGAAAAAGATAGATAATTATTGTTAGAAAAAAAGAAGAAAAAAGTTGACTCTTTGGGTTTTAAATCTACGACCAACTGTTTCAACGCAGTTGTAGTATTTCTTGCCTTTTTCATATTATTCAAACATAAGGTAATGCATTTGAGTGTTATGCCTTAAAAACAGTGTGTTATGTGTAAGTAAAAAATAAATTAAAAGATAGCCAACCCTATATCTATATTTCTGAACTTTCCTGAATGCTTTGTTTTGTTCGAGTTCAATTGTTCTCTGTTTTTTTGATCAACAGAATCGCTCCGTCTGCCTTCTTCTATTTTGAGATATTAAGTTACTATATGCCAGTTGCAGATTGTCTTCGTTACTTTTCTAACATTCCTCTCTGAAAGGAACTTATTAAAAACGTCTAAGAAATTTTCTTTTATACGTTCGTGTTTATCGTAAAGTTTCGTTTAATTATAAACATTCATTTTAAAGTAAAGTAAGCTGATAAAAACTTTGTATACACACGTGCTTGCCGTTTTCGTTTTCCTTTGAAGTTTTAATTCTAAAATCTTAACCACATGTTCAAAGCAAACACCTGCTTTAGATCAAAGCAAACCAGTTTCACTCTAATCCGATATTCTATGGGGTTTGCTAGAAATACATCTTTTGTTGAGAAGAAGAACACAATTAACACGTTCGTAATTTTATAAAGATATTTGATAATAAATTTTACAGTGGAGATATGGAAATGAAAATACACATCATCAAAACTTCATTTTGAAATATATTATAAATCATTATAACAATAATGACGTTTCTCATTGTTAGATATTTAATTGTATGTTATCAATGATTTTGATTTTGAATTCCAGTATATAAAAAAATGTACGAATAATTCCTGCTAAGTATATATAGATATTACAGCAGTTTATACTATGTAGGAAACATTTATACATTTAATTGTCCTTGTTTTGGTGTTATATTAACCACTCCGTAGGCAATTTCATTCTGCAATCGTTATATCACGATCAACTAAAACCGTCTGTTTTCGGTTGGACTTCCTGTAAAATTTACAATGAAGAACTGAATATATGTTAACATTTCACTGGTCAAAATTTCAATCTGAAATCTCGGAATCTGATTGGCCATTGTAAAATTAGAAGAATAACATGAAGAATTAATTAATATTCTAAACTATAATTTGGCATAACCCTTAATTTTAAGAACCGAAATACTATAAACTTTGGAACAATCAATGATATGATTACGAGTCCTTCAAATAAAACTGTAACCGTAACAGACTCTCATTAAATATGTAGAGACTGTATTCAAGCTTAACCAACAGTGACCCACACAAAAAAAAGGGATAGGGTTGAATTTGTTAAGAGAGTTAGTAAGTATGATAAAAATAACCTCTCCAGACAAACATATCCTCTTGAAAATTGACTGCTCCTCCACTACTATTTCAGTTTAAAGATAATATTTTATTGTATAAATGTACACACAGTATACAATTTCATAATTTTACAGAACATACAAAAGGGTTGGGCCAAAAGTTCTAATAACAGTATAGTAGGCCCTTCCCTGAGGTAAAGTAAATATAAATAAATCGAAATAGAAATTAGTTGAGAGAAAAAAAATATATAAAAAAAATAGAAATATAAATAAGCAATATAATAAAATTATGATACTAAGAATGATTAAATTAAGTTATTTAAATATTTAAATGTATAGAGTTTAAGTTTCAAAAGTCAATAGTGTTCCATTTAAAGTTATTTTTGGCTTTTGAATTATGTGTTCTAAGTATCAAATTTTAAGAAAAAGGAATAAATGATAGAATGAAATAATCAAATTATTGTAATAATTACAGAAACTGCAAAAAAACCACTATTTCAGTCAGTCTGATAAAACTAAAAGAGTGTCAAGGCAGTTTCCTTTGTATGGAAATAACAATCTCATTTGTTCTGCTTTACCTTTGTAAAATGATAAATGATCTAATATAAACTGCCATATTTCTTAAAGATAAACTATGCTCAAATTTGATGGTTGAAAATATTAGTTTTATAACTACTACACAGCCTATTTGTAAATATAAAATAAACATGACTCAGATTCATTCAATGTAGATATGTTATGTTTTAAACTCTATACCATATAAGTGGTCGCAATATGAATATATAGTGTCATTTAAAAACTGTTAGTTTTTTTTTTGGTCTTTTTTTAAGAAAAGACCAACTTCACTTGACCTTTAATAGGGAATTCAACTTTCAATACAAAATTTGAACACTCTTTTACTCAAATTAAAAACAGTAAGGATCTCATGGATTGCAATAAATTTCTGTGATAAGAATATTTTACTCAAATATAAGCATAGTACGTATATCTTGAAGGGATTAAATATTATGTTTTCAATCAAGTAAAAAAATGATTGTATAATTCATAACAAATAAGTAAAAAATCAGCAGCAAAAAAAGCTTTTGTTTTGATATGTCATAGTCTTATACTTGATAGAAATACATTAATATTTATGATAAACTTTCACACCAAATAATAAAAATACACGCACGCACGCAAAAAATAACACACACGCACACTCGTACACGCACGCACGCACGCACGCACGCACACACACACACACACACACACACACATACATACATACATACATACATACATACATACATACATACATACATACATACATACATACATACATACATACATACATACATTCCCTATCACTTACTGAAAAATGACCGACCTGAGTTCACACGATGACTTGCAAGATGCTTTTTCAGTCTAGGAAAGAGGAAAAAGTCACAGGGTGCCAAATCTGGAGAATATTGTAAAATGCAGCTACTGGTTTTTCTGCGGATTTAACCTGCTACTTTTTCTGGTCGGATGTTACCAAATAGAGTATTCATATGACACTTATTCGCCAAAATTTCAAGTGATTATATAGAATCGTATGAGTCGACCTTTTGATATCCCTGTGATATGGGCTATCTGCGTAGTTGAAAATCCTTGTGAATTATAGACTTGAATTTATGAAAATTTTGTCAGTAACTATGAAGGGTCTTCTACAAGACTAACAAGCAACTTTAACTGACTAGTGTCCATTTTTTCATATATGCATCCAACCCGAAATAGTTCCATAAGATATCTCATTGCTGTCATTAACTACAAGCATCGTTATAAACATTTATAGCAGATTTTCCAACCTTTGCTCGAGCTTTAAAAAGTCCCTAATTTCATCTCCTTTATCTTGCCGTTTTACAGGCCATATTTCACACTAAATTACTCGTGAAAGGTATTCTTAATGTAAATGAAATTCTTAATCGGTTGACTACACACGTGGTATTAATATCATTGAAAAACAGATAGTTTGAAGCATAACATAGTTTATACAAACATAAAAATAAAGAGTTAAATAAAAAATATATTGGCCTACCCTGGTACAGTTTTTTTTTTTTTTTTTTTTGAAAGTAAATGTCAAAGATGAGTGATAAACATATGTTTATCATCTTCAATTTCAAATGTAAATAAATTCTGTTGCCCTGGCTTATGTTCGACCTCATCTGGTTTATCTGTGTGTTCTCTAGAAGATGATGTTGTTGTCATGAAATCTGCTTCAAATTCATTTTGGCAAACAGGGTTTGTGTATTCATGCAAGTCTTTGTCACCTTCGTACCTGCTGTCGGTTGTACCGACATTCTTACATCGTCGCTCCGGTTGATTTCTTGATATATTCTAATTTTAAAAAAAAATGTGACAGCTTTATACAAATAGGCCAAGATGGCTTAAACTGATGATATAAGTTTATGTGTAAATATGAATCTCTTACAATTGTACGCTTAAATGGACAAAGGGCGGAATATTACGTATATCTGCGTATCATTTTTAATTTATTGTTAAGCTGTTTTCCAATGAACGGTTTAAAGTAAAATAGAGGAATGTGTCTTTGAACGTATAGCTAATATCAAGAAATAGGTGTGTTAATATCATATGGATTTTGTTTATGCCCCTAAAAGGATAAAGGGAATAGATAAACATAATGAGATGGGGTGCGTACGTCATATATTCCTTGTCCAACCAGTAACTAAAGAAGGCTTAGGCCTACAGTCCTAGGACTTGGTATGGCCATGACCTGTAGCTGACCCCTATTCATTTTATGGTTTGAAGGTCACCATAGATATAATCGCTTGTCGTCAGTAACTATGAAACATTTTGCGTACAGTCCGAAGTTTAGTGTGGAGGTTGGTTATGACTGATAGATGACACATTGATTTATAGATCATGAGGATAAAGGTCAAGGCCACTATGGAATTGACGTCTTAAAATATAACAACAGTAAAGTATAGTTATAACTTAAAAAAGCTTTGCCGACAGTCATTAGATTTGATGTTGATGTTGGCCATTACTAGACCACTATTGATTTTGTGATTAAAACGTCAACTGTCAAAGTCACCATGGCTTGTGCCGCTCAAACCTTGTCCGGCCAAAATCTAGAGAGAGCTTTGGCCTAAAATCATTAGACTTGGTTTGGATGTTTGTATTGACTAGAAGAAAACCACTATAGATTTTAAGATCAGATATGAGGTCATTAGGTCAAGGTCGCAGTAAATTAAAAACTTGTCCAATCAAGAAGTCTGCACATATTCCGCTGGGGTGTGGGGCATAAGTATTCGCATTTCTAGTAAAAATATAACTTTTAAAAAACATAACATGAGCTGTTAGTAAGACGGCGAGCTAGCCTAATCTCAGTGCTTGTTAGTAAAACAAGAGGAAGGATAATGAAGAATTTTTCTTAGTTCAAAAGGTGCCATTATTCAAAAGTTATAGAAGATACAAACTTGCACCAAAGTGTGACGACGGTGTAACATTAAATGTTGACCCTGTTGAAATGTGACCCCATGGGTCATTTTGAACGTTGAAAATTGACCATGCCAACATTTTGACATTAAAATATGATGAAAAAGTCATTAAAATCTTATCAGTTGTTGACTCGATAAAAACAGGTGCATTTTAATGGTTTGTGGAATTTTTCAAGTTAAACGTTCTGAATGATCTGTCTATAATAGAGAAACACATAGAAAAAATCAGAATCTCCTACAGCACCGTGTATATCCAGTAACGCCGGATTGTGAACATAACGCACGATTCGTTAATTAAGTGACGCAGAATTTGTGAAAATTTCTTAGATATTTAATGTATCAAATCGCACTTTTCGCCGTTACAAGGAAACTTTATTCACGTACATCTGCGTTACCTCATAAAAACGGCTTGATCACATTTTATCAGCTTATTTTAAATTTTCTATGTCACCAAAAGTTTAGTAAATGTAACTTGCTTACCGAAAATCGAAATTATACGATATCGTATGCATTGTTGTACTAATTATAGTCGACAAAAAGCCCAAATCACACCCAAGACGGTCGTGAAGCCAACTTTTTTACTAATTATCTCAAAAACTAAGCAATTTCGTGGAAATAACAATAATGTCCTCGCGGCCTTATGTGGCTATTCCTTTTTCATTTTGGTTAAATAAAGAATATATTGTCCAGGTTATTTACCGCGTTGGAAATCCTGCCAGGTATCCTCCATTCATTGCACAAATTCTGTGTTACTTATTGCACGAATATTGCATTATTTTTACATTCCGGCGTTACTGGATATACACTATGTACTGGCTTCATTAATACATTTCAAGAGGCCGAGCCGAACGGACAACTGCGCCGAGATAGGTTATAAGATAATCTATATGTTGGAAAGGGTACATTTAACGGAAGTTCAACACAATGATTTCTGACAAACGTGTTTGTACAAAATCACTTGGTGTCAGACGCTGACCTAACCTTCACCCGACCTTGTTAATTCCCTGTTACTTTAACACGAGCAAAACATCTGTCACGGTCATAAGTAATTTCCACATGAATTTTAAAAAAAAACACGTTAACCATCAAGTTCCAATGTAGTACTATAAGTAACATAAGTTTCATGATTTTGACGGATTCGTGTTTTTAGCTGATGCAAGAATGATCAAAATATTTGTATTGAACAACGGGACAAGTATTGCTACTCTAATTCACAACCAAAATAGGGAATTTATTAATTATTAAACACATTGAAATGTTGGGCTAGACTGAAATGTATCCCTGCTGTAGTACGTCAGATTCGATTTTACAGATCTTTTTTCTGACTTGTGTAATAAATTAAATTGATATATACATCATTTAATCATTCAGGGGTTGGTGCTAGAAAAAAGTCATAGATTTTAATAAGTGATGTAGCTACGCCAAAATTGATAGAATGCACAATCACGCAGAGTGAGATTATAAAGATCGTGTCAGTGCCCCAAAGTTCAACGATTTCCATAATTCATAGATACTTGAAAATGTTGTTTTTTTCACGCCAGTTAATTAAAGGTCACAAAATAGGATTTAAATCAGAACGTTTTATACTTGTACGTTAAATTCGTGTAAATTGATATGTATGGTCGTAGTCATTGAGGGGGCAGCACCCATGGTGCCCTGCCTCCTTCCTTGATTCCGCTCTAGTGATAACAGAAGAAGAAGATTAAATATTTTTACTTTTGCTCAAACGGACAGTATTTAAAAAGATTCAATGTAATATGAAACGTTATTTACGTAAACAGCATATAAGCGGTGTATACTGCATGGCACGTTATAAGAAGTGTTATTAGAACGTGGTGCGCATGAAAACAACAAAACAAGTATATTTCATTTGTATGGCCATAGGCTTATTGCGCAAAATTACAAGGATCGAGTTCTAAGGGTCAAAATTTAATGTTACACTGGCGCAAGTGTGAGAACAATAGCTCTCCGAATTTTTCGAGTAGTCAAGCTAAAGTCTAGTACAGTGCCAACATTCATATGATATTAATTATGACAATTTACTTACCTCATTTCTACATTTTGTTCTCCTTAATATCCTATAATAGAAAATGTTGACATTGTATAATTTGATGAAATCAGTACTTGTCAAATCATATTGCGATCAATCTACAAAACGTAAGATGTTTCCCATGCAAAAATGTACTTCTAAATTCATTTATGTATTGAATATTTTCAAAATTTGTGGGTTTTTTTCCTACCTAACCTATGTCTTTACATTTCTGATTAAGGTGTTATTGAGAAGTTCTTTTACGAGGGCTTTCTAAATTCACACTTTTTAATGCAGGCTTGAACATGGTCATGTAAACGTTTTTTTTCTTTAACGAACCATTAAGAATGTTTGATAACTTTTATTTACTACAGTTGGAAAATATATCACGCTGTATAGGCACTTCTCTATATTATGTTACTTACATTATAATCCGTATTATAATGGGAACGAACACAAGTATCAAAATTATTATCAAACACACGACATTGCATTCATTTGTTGTCCCTGTTGTTGTTGTGATACATTTTTGGTCGACAAGAGTTTCATTCAAACGGCACCGTCTGGATATGTCACAAACTTCCACGTGACTCAGATTTCTTTTCAATGCATGTTCGTAAAAGTTAATATACTCCATCATTGGGGGTGGGCAAGGTGCATAATTAAGCATGTCATGTTTTAATCCACAAAATAACGTTCCGCATGTCTTATAGAAACCCATTATTTAATCACATATATATTATTCAGGCATTGTTTAAACACTTTAACTATTCGCATGTTATATCTCATTAACATAGTCCAGATACTGAACAATAAAATAGAAAAATACACAGATAAAATAAACAAATGATATAACCGTTAGATATACAAAAACAGTGCAGGTATATCTTATGTGTAGTACACCCAATAGATCAAGTTACGGTAATTTAGTGATATCTGTTACAAGTATAACAAAGCATATGATTTATTTAAAAGTGAAGTCCCGACATAAAATCTTTAAGTTTAGAAATTATAAAGCAATAGGAAACTTACAGGCAGTACATTTGTCTTATTGACCGAGGCAAGACAAGACTAGAAATTGACTATTCACAAGCTAACAGGCTATGAATGGTTTTACTTTTATTAATAAATCATGCAATATGAATAGGTATGCATAATCCGCACTCTTAACAGAACAATTGAAATATGAAACCAAAACGAAGTGTAGTTTGCTGCGGTTTACGGTTTATTCGACATAAAAAAAATGATTAACCAAGAAAGGGAGAAGAAAAGAAAGCAAGTCTCTCCTGTGTCTGACAAAGGGAAAATTGGTACCAATGGTTACATCTCAAGCTTGATGAAGCTAGAAATTAACCAAACCCATCCCAATAAATAAATCAGTCCCCAGTCTTTCATAGTAGTGTTTTATTTTATTTAATTTTTCGTAGACTTTATAGCGTGATAATTTCCTAATTGTGTAAGATCAGAAAAGTCGTTTTAAAATTATAATCTTAGAAATGCTAGATTATCAATATCATTAAAAAGTGTATTGTGGACAGAAATTTACAATTTCAAGTTAATAATGTAAATGAAAGGTTAATTAAAACTTAAATAAAAGTACTTTAGAATCAGTATCAGATTATCAGTAAATTCAATCACGTGGTATTAACCAATGGTACCTTAATTCATAGACAGAATATTCGTATTTAATCATAACAGTTATTTAAAGCCATCAAGTAATTGCTGATTTAATTTATCAGTATATTAAAAAATCTATTTCTGTGAATTTCTAAAAGTATATATTGTGTTATGATAAGCACCATAAAGACATTGATCTCAAATGCCAGAACGTGCAAATTTAAATCAGTTTAGAATCAAGAGTTTTGTAAAGCCAATGACTTTATATCGTTAACTTAAACACATTTCAGGACAATTTTGCACTTATCATACAAAGGTTTCCTTAGTTATATTGTTACTCGTGTCTTACAATTCGACCATTTGATATTAATGCTAAATGTATTTTTAAGGCCATAAATTAAGTAAATGTACTTGTGACGTATAAATATTTTCTGTATATTGGCGATTGTATGGAATTGCCATATATCGTCATTCTAAATGGACTGCATGTGTTGTGCCCTTTCTATACAAAAAATGACATCTCCCCGTGGGTTCAAGCAGTGTTCAATTTACAAAAACATATTCATGTGACTTATTAGATTATTTTCGATATCATAATGTTTCTTATGTTATGTGCATAACAGCAAGTGTTATTATGATTACAGTACGAGTACAACATGCGGCTGATAGCGTGACAAAATTGTTTATACGATTTTAAATCGTTAAACTAAGTGTTTTTCAAGAGATTCCATTTGTAATAAACAATAAAGAACAGCATGCTATCAAAGATGCCTTCGAAAACAAAACAGTTGAGTCTAAAAAGTCATTGTTGTGTTTTATTGTTTTAACCCTTATACATTATTTTTCTATTTATTATATACTTATAAGTTATTTTATTATTAAATGTTCCCTTTTCATAAATGTCCTGACATAAGACTCTGATATCTTAAAAGATAAAATATACAAAATTTCCTGTGAATTTGAAGATTGGAGACTGTGATGAGTTTAGTCACGTTATGTAATCACATTTACTTGACTTGAGTTCATTATACAAAATTTACATGTGATTCTTATTTAAAAAGGTCGTGTTAGAATCACGGTTTTTAAAGTGTGTTTAGTACATTATCTTTTTAATTCCACTCTCTTTCTCTCTGCAGGCTTTCTTGAATGGAATTTTCTTGCATATCAGACTGGCGTTTCCGTGAGTTTTACCCATGCCGGAAATTTCATCTGGCATGGGGGGTTCCAGATGAGTCGCGTGCTGTACAATGGTACGGTTAGGATGACGTCATTTTACCGTTATGAATGAAGTTGTAATTCATACGCTGTTGTAAGAAAGTAGTTACGGTTGTTATGATATAAATTTTCATTGAAAATAAAGATAAAGAATTTAAAATATAATGGAATATGGTAGAATATGCAAGAAAAAACATCTGACATATGTTTGCGGTTCGAATCGGAATATTCGTCCCTCGGTCACCCGCCAATGGGCGGTCACTCGGCAAGCCTCGTTACCACCCAATGGGCGGGCCACCTCGGAACGGCTATTCCGATCCGAACCGCAAAATATGACAGATATTATTAGTCCAGCTTCCATTTTTGGAACCGTCCTTTATCAATTTAAGGGATATCAAGATGAAAAATGTTAGTTAGCCGACAGTATAAAGCATGTTCACACGACACGAATGTGAAGGCTGACCTGGCTCTATACTGAAATTTGTAAAGGCTAATCACTTCAGGTCCCATCAGGTGAGTGGTTAATTATTGTAGAACATTTGAACTATTTTATGTCATTCACTGATAGCTATAATCTGAAAACGTTGGATATTTATTTATTCTTGTTTAACATATCTATGAATGACAGTTTTGACATATATATTCACATTCTGAAATTGAATTGCTTAGAATATAAAACCGAAAGTCGCGACAGTAGTTATCGCAAAGACTTACTTAATGGATGTTCAAATATTTGAGCATAAATAGCACTTTCAGCACGATTAAAACATTTTTTATTTAGAAACCTTTATCATTACCAGGTAAAAAATAAATATGATTGTTTGACATTAAATAGACCTTTAACTATTGTCCTGTAATATATTTTGAAGAACAAATAGTAATCTGACATTTATTGGAAATAAGTCAACATAGACAAATGTCAATGTCGAGAAAGTGGTGTTAATGGACATTTCCAACTAATGATCACTTTGCGCAGCTTTTCAATTGTTTCTGTTGCATTCTTTCTACTCTGAATGTTTCTCCTATTAAACTGTGAAAACATCTGACATATTTTGCAATATTTTGGCTTATATCTGTAAAAGTAAGATCACCTGTAAAAGTAAGATCACCATATTATCTATAAAAAATATCCTTTAGCGCGTAGATTCTTATCATAAATATTGAAAGCGATTTTTATTGTTTCTTCCAGCGTTCCACAGAAACAAAACGTTCATATTCAAGAACATTATAAAAATACGTGATTAAATATAATGTACTGCCAATGTAAATTTAACTGAAATCTGAATGTAGCTGACCGATCAAAAATACAAACAGAAATGAACAGTGAACAACTAATCATTTTAAATGTGAAGCTTTGCTCATATGAATCAAACAGACCACTTTTTATTTTCAGACTTGCAAATACATGTACAAATGCTTAATCAAACTATACCTGAAGTAAAAGATCATAAACACTTAGGATTATTTTTGTCTCACAATTGCCTGTGGCATTCACATATAGAATATATTAATGAAAAAGCATGGAAACGGGTGAACATAATGAGAAAACTGAAATTCATGTTTGACCGTAAATCTCTTGAAATTATTTATATATCGTTTATCCGACCAATCCTTAATATGCGGATGTGGTATGGGGAAGCGCATTTCAGTATGAACTTGACCTCTTAGATAATATACAAAATGAATGTGCTAGAATAGTGTCTGGTGCAACAAGACTAGTTTCAATTGAAAACTTAAATAATAAAGTAAATTGGGAAACATTAAAACAAAGACGTTATAAACATAGATTAACATTATTCTATAAAATCAAACATGGCATTGCACCAGAATACTTGTCAGAACCAATACCGTATCAAACAAACACTCGTTATAACCTTAGAAATTCAAACGACACTATTGGTATTTCAGCAAGGACATCTTTATACTTTAATTCTTTTTTCCCATCTTCAATTCGTGAATGGAACAACTTGCCCCTTAACATAAGGAATTTACCAACCCTTTCAATGTTTAAAAATTATCTATCACGTGATAAGAAAACTACACCAAAATATTTTTATTTTGGTGATAGAAAACTTCAAATTATTCACACCAGGTTACGCACAAAATGTAGCTCCCTAAATTATCATTTATATCACCATCGCCATTATGTGAGTGTGGTCAAATGGAAACTAACTTTCATTACTTCTTTGAATGCAATCGCTTTCGTACATGTAGAGAAAAATTATTGGGAATTCTAAATAATTTCGATATTACCCTCAACACCCTACTTTTTGGCAACCCGGACATCTCAGATACTGATAATGCCAATATCTTTAAACATGTTCATACTTTTATCTCAGAGTCAAAGCGATTTCTCTGAACTTAAAGTGAAACAGTGAAGCAATCTTTCTTTTCTCTTTCTTTCTTTTTTCCTAACATTGTATTATTTGTTTTCCTTTTTTCTTTTTCGTTATTATAATTTCTAATTCTTATCCCGATGATTACTTATAAATATAACGTTTACTTGGTCACAAATATTTACATTCCACTTTTTTGATAATTGTACAAAATATTATAAAATCGACTCATTATAAAGTTACACTAAAAGGAGAAGAATTTTATAAGACTTAGTCTTTCGTTCTCATCCTTTTCTTTGAATATATTATATACTTGTATTCTGATTGTATTGTATTATGTATATCATGTAAATATTCGGGAAATAAATATGTTTAAACTAATACATGTACAACGATTTTGTTCATTAAGGTGGATAAAACTGGCTTATGAGATATCCCGCCCTGCCCCCCCCTCTCCCCCTCTAGATCAACGAAAATAAGATGGATATCTTAAAATTGAATGCTCGGTTCCAATGAATCTGTTCAAGAGAAAAAGCAAGGTAAAAGTGCAACAAAAAATTATTCAGCAAATCACATACGAGCAAAATTCTTTCAAAGTATGTCGTATTTGCTCTAACTGTTCGGTCACTAATCTAATAAACACAAAACAGTTAAAATGATAAGTTTCAAGTATAGACGCCTAGAATCCGCTTCAATACCTGTAACC